GGGAGGGAGCCACAGAAAGCCACGCTCTGACAGCATGAAGGAGGAAGTGCAGAGGGGCCTGAGCGCTTCAGGCAGCCAATCGTGAGTGGCGACAACCAACCAGAGGCTATTGCCCATGCTGGGGCCAATCAAGCAAAGAGATCAGAAGACCCTCAGACCTCCACGAGGTCACTGAATGCTTAATTAACCAACCCCAGAGCCTGCCGTACCCCTGCACTTCCTGTTTTGTGGGACCCTAAATCTTGTTTAAGCTTGTTCGAATCTGGATGTTTTGTTATTTGTAGTGAATGGTATCTTGATGCCTTTGATCTGGCATCAAGGCTGTTTGGATTTCCCCTCTGGCTGGGTTTCCAGCCATTTATCCCACTCCATCAGCTCCTACCCATGACTCCGGCCAATACCCTTCCAATTTCCACTGACCTGGAAACTCCTACTTGTCCTTCAGAACCCAGTTCAAACTTCATCTATAAAGTCCTCTGACACCCATGAACTTCCTTCTCTGGGCTCTGCTCTAACCAGAAAGTTCTCATTAAAAAAAAAAAATTGTTTGGTAGAAACCAACACAGTACTGTAAAGCAACTATCCTTCAATTACAAATAATTGAATTAAAATAAATTTTTAAAAATTATTTATTTGGCTATGCTGGGTCTCAGATGTGGCATGTGGGATCTGTAGCTGTGGCACAGAGGATCTTTTTAGTTGTGGCATGCGAACTCTTAGTTGGGCATATGGGATCTACTTCCCTGACCAGGGATCGAACCCAAGCCCCTGCTTTGGGAGCACGGAGTCTGAGCCACTGGACCACCAGGGAGGTCCCCTCATTTTCTAAGTATTTATTATCCTGGCCCCTGGGAAGTTAGGGAATTTTATCATGACAAAAATATTAACTCATCAATTAGACAATTTCTAACTTAGCTCCCACTAAACATCCCTCTATACAGAAGTATTTAATCTTAATCTTCACATCAAGTCTTTGTCAAAGGTCGGTCTCTCACAGATACCTGGATTCAATGCGATTTACCGGCAATGGACCAGGTAGTTAACTACAACTGCAAATCTTGCAAAAGAAACACGATTCCCCAGTATCAGTGAAAGTCATCCTGGGAAACTGTTGCAATCTGAGAGGGTTAGACCAGCTGATGAGTGCCACTTCTGAAGAAACTGATCTGATAAAGGACTCTTTTTTTCATCCTGAGACCTTTCCTCACTCCCTGCTATTTGTCAGGCAATGTGCAAGGTACTATGGTTACAACCAAGAATAAGAAAAACTGCCTGCCTGCCTCAATCTTATCCTCTTTAGAGTAAGATTGACAATAAACATGTACAAGTACACTATGTAATTTCATATATGAATAAGCATTATGAGGAAAAAATAAGCTAGATAAGGACAATATAACAAAAAAATAGTAATTTTCTGGCAAGGATACTCTGTAAACTCCATGTTAAGAGAGTATGCTCAGGGGCAGAATGGCTCTCTTGATTACTAGAGTGGGTCTCCTGCAGCCATGATTACATTACATGATTCTGTCCCACTGGCCACAGTTGATTGGAACAGAGGTAAACAGCTGACCCAAGCTGCTGCTGCTGCTAAGTCACTTCAGTCATGTCCGTCTCTGTGAGACCCCACAGACGGCAGCCCACCAGGCTCCCCCATCCCTGGGATTCTCCAGGCAAGAACACTGGAGTGGGTTGCCATTTCCTTCTCCAGTGTATGAAAGTAAAAAGTGAAAGTGAAGTCGTTCAGTCGTGTCCGACTCTTAGCGACCTCATGGACTGCAGCCTACCAGGTTCCTCCATCCATGGGATTTTCCAGGCAAGAGTACTGGAGTGGGGTGCCATTGCCTTCTCCGTGACCCAAGTTAGGCCAATCAAATTCTTTCCTAGGATTTTGGACACAGAATACTAGGTATTGAATTGGCAGGCTATCAGAGGGGAGATGATTCAGCTTTAGGGCTGGGGCGGTTGTTGGACAAGTACAGAGATTTAAAAAAAAAAAGCCAGCCTGCAGAAGGAAGATGAGGGAAGCAGACACCCTGACAGAAATGGTTACAAACTGCAGATTCAGAGGGACAATGGTGAGTGTCTTGGGTTTTGAGGAGGTACTGGTTAGAGATCAAGTCTCTTGTAAGGTCCAGCTGGGAGTCCTGCTTTTGGATTTGTCCTAATTCTTTCAATAAATTCCTCCCGCGGTTTAAGTTAGGCTAGGTCTGTTTCTATGTTTTGCAACCAATATTAGCATTTCCAAGAATGAAAATACTGGTGATGAGGGTGATGGTAAGAGATAACATTTGTTGAGTGGCAGGCATTGCTTGAAGATCTTTACATAGGTCATCTATTTTGATTCTTACGAATTGTTGAGACAGACACAATTGTTATCCCCATGTTGAATGAGGAAACTTGAGCTTCAGAAGCCACAGTGAGTAAGCAGCAGAACCAGCTTCTGGCCTCCACGACCTTCACTGCTTCACTATACTCAAAAAAACACTGGGGAATGGACTTGAGGTTATTTAAAATCTGTTAAGTCCTTTGACACATTTCTTCTGATCCTGAGCAAAACCCCAGAGCAGAAGATACGTGCTGCTTCTCAGATAACTCACTCCAACTGAGGAAGTGGCCACATCTTTATCAACTCAGCAGTCTGATTACCCACTTTGTTAAAACAGCCACATTCCCTACTGAGAGCTAGAGTTTCTCATAAGCATTCTTGATGTCTTAGAAGTGGAGGCTCTGATGTTACTCAAGTCTAGAGTTGAGGTTGGACTCTGGGTTGTCACATGCCTCGTGCTAAACCCTCAGAGTTGATCAACTTTGCTGAGCCCCAGTTTCCCTATCTGAAACACAGAAACAACAAGAATAATAATGCCTAATGTGAAGATTCAAACAGATGATGGACTAAAGTGTTTACCAGTATAACTTAAAGCCCACAGTATCTCAGGCTCATGTATATGCACAATAAATTGAAAGCATTATTATTCTATGTCCTTTCAGTGCAATGCTTGTTGTTTCTGCCACTACCCCTTCTTCTGGAAAAAGTACCCTACTTCTCCTTGGGAACTTTTCCTCTGTTGGATATCATCTCCGAGGGACCACCTATTCCTGGTTGAGGAATGGTAACAAGGACTCAGTTAGCTCAACCAGAACCCTCTTCTTAGTATCTGAATCTTTAGCTGAGCCACATCCAAAACTGAGTGGGAAAAATACAGAGGAACAACAACAGAAAATATTTAAGGGTTAATGTGTTCCCGTTGAAGAACACAGACAAGACTGGCCATGAGCTCCTGTGGTGGCCCACATGGTCAGAGCTTCCCTGGCGCCTGTCTTTTCCAGGATCTGGTTCTTTGGTTTTCCCATAGATTCTTTGACTTTCTCAGAAATTTAAACTCCTATCAAGTCTCCAAAAAGCCTAGGCAGAACTGGTTTCCACTGCTTGTCATCAAAGAACTTACTTGATGTACTTTTCAAAGAATGATTAGGTCTCTGTGAAACTCAGCAAATTCTTTAATCCCCTTTCCCTCCTCCTCTGGACAAGGAGAGTGTATTAGCAATCTACTGCCGGGTGACAAATAATTGTAAAGCCTGGTGGCTTTAAACAATAAATATTTATTAACTTGTAACTGTGTGCCTGAAATTTGGAAGCAACTCTGGTTAGTGGTTCTGGTTTAGGATCTTTCAGGAAGGCTGCAGTCAAAAGTCAGCCAGCACTGCTGCTGCATTGCAAGCCAGCATTGCAAGGCTGCTTGACTGGGGCTGCAAGACCGACTTCCAAGATGGCCCATTCATACGGCTGTTGTCAGGAGGCCTCCGATCTGTATCTGTCTGAGTGTCTTCACCACGTGGAACAAGACGGAAGCCATGACACATCACACAAGGCAGCCCTGTTCCATGTAAATGCCAGGAGGTAGTGATGAAGATGACTGGGGGCCGCACAGGGGAAGCCCAGAAACCCTGTAGGGGGCCTTGGTAGCCAGTTACCATCCTCCTTTCACTGAGTTATTCCTATTCACCCCAAGAACATCTCATTTCAGAAACCCTCAGACAGTGATTTACAAACAGTGGGTGGAAGGAGGCGGTGAATATGAAGATGCAAAATAGGCAGAGTGAAGGTCTCCAGTCTAAGGACTTGTTCTGGAGAACTGGAAAAGAGGAAGATACAGCCTTTAGGGAAGGGAGACACAGGCTGCCCGAAGTCCAAGGACAAAGAGTAGTATAAAACCTAAGTGTTCCCCCTGGGCAGCCCCAAAGAAGGTCTGCCAGACAGTTCAGGCCTGCTTGTCAATCACTGCTCCAAAGTCAAGCTGGGTTTGAGAACCGGAGCCTAAGAGCCAGGCCACTGCCACGCTGTTAGATGGGCTGAGCTGTGTTCCCCACAAAACTCATGTTGAAGCCGCAACCTCCCAGTACCTCGGAATGTGACTGAATTTGCAGACAGGGATGATAAACAGGTGATGAAGTTCAAACTGGGCTGTGAGGCTGGGCCTTAACCCAATCTGACTGGTGTCCTCGTGAGAAGAAGGCATTTGGACAGACAGAGATAGCGAGGGCAGAGACAGAGGCAAGACTGGAAGGACAGAGCAAAAAGTCAAGTGTGTGCAAGCCAAGGAGAGGGGCGTCAGGAGAAACGAAACCTGCCGCCACCCTGGTCTTGGACGGCCCGCCTCCAGAACTGTGAGAATCACTCCCTGTGGTTCAGGCCACCAGTCGGTGGTCTTGCGTCATGGCAGCCCAGGCAGACTGGAGCTCCAGCTGCCACTATTCTGTGAGGCAGCTCCTAACCTCTGCTGTGTACTGGGGCAGCAGAGCCCGATGTGAGGCCTTCCTTTCCAGACTCAGGGAGGTGAGACGGGTCCAGGCGTCCCCAGCCAGCTGATACGGAGGGGCCTGGCGTGGAGCCATGCATGCACCGGTGAACCCGGAGGCTCCGTGTCCACTCCTGGTTCCTTCCGCAAGCTCCCGCCGGGCCCAGGCCTCCTGCTCCTCGCCTCCGTCCTGCCACCTTCTCTCTAGCTGCAGAGCACCTTCTGTATTCGTTCCCGCACTTCCTTTGGTCCCAAAGACACCATCATCTCAGCTACCGGAGGTCCTTGCTGAGGACGAACAAGAGAAAACGTTGCCTTCAACTGTCTGAGGAACACACGCCTGGCCTCAGCTGCAGGAGTTACGCCCAAGCCAATCCTGCACCCCAAGGAAAGCCAGGTGTGCATTTTATGGGCTTCAACTTCTGAGGCTGAGGATGGGTCCCAGAGCCTGCTCTCCATGGGTTGGTATGTCCCTTCACCCAATCCACGGCCAGCTCCTTGAAGGGGGCGGGGAGCATGTGTGTTTCATTCATTACTGGATCCACTGCACCTAGCATGGAGCTTGCACATGGTAAGGTACTCAGTAGGTACTGTCTGTTGAATGATTAAATAAGGGGGCTGGTCATGTTTCATTCATCTCTGTAGCCCGCAAACTACGCTTAGTGCTGTTGGTGAATGTCAGCTGAGTGGATAAAAGAGGGCTCCAGTCCAGTCCAACCGCCTGCCTCACCTGCTGTCCACTGAGGGCCACTCGGAGGAGCTTCATCACGTTACTGTGTTTGATGCCTTCCAGACCATCTGACAGCTTCTTCAATTCTCCATTCAGCATGTCCTGAGTTAAGTTCGTACCAGGTCCTTCTAAAAGTCTAGAAGAGAGCAAGTCTGTGAGGGGCCAGCACTGGCCAATGGCAAGTGGGTGGAAGGGAGGACTTCAGAGGCTTATCCATCAGCTACAACATATTAATAAATTAATATCACAACCAATGTTCAAGTCTGCTTGGAAGTGGAGGGAGATACGTACTACCCCCATCCTAGTTGGTGAAGAAATAGCAACCAAGGGACTACAGAGAGAGTCCAAGCAAATGTGCATAAAACAGGGAAACTCAGAGAATACGGTAAGAGGATTTACTAATTACTACCTGTGTCATGCAATCTTCATGCCTCAGTTTTCTCACCTGTAAAGTGGAGATAATAATAGTCTCTGCACCTCACAGAGCTATGGTGGGGCTGAGTTAAAACTGGTAAAGCACTGAGTACGCTGCCTGAACAGATGGTAAGAACTCGAAAGTATGAGATCTTATATTTCAATAAAAAGTTAAATATTTTAGCTAATATTTATTATATCCAAGAGCTCAGAGACATTGCAAGAGGATCTAAAAAGAAACTTGCGAATGAGTTAGATACAGGATGGAAGAATGAAGCCCTCTGGGAAATGATCTGAAACCTGGCTTCAAGACCTCTGGGATTTTCCTGGTGGTACCGTGGATAAGAATCTACCTGCCAATGGAGGGGACTTGGGGTTGATCCCTGGTCCGGGAAGATTCCACATGACTCAGGGAATCCATGCACCACAACTGCTGAGCCTGAGTGCTTCATCTACTGAAACCTGTGAGCCTAGAGTCCATGGTCCACAAGAGTGCCACCACAATAAGAAGCCCACACACTCCAACGAAAAAGTACCCCCCGCTTGCTGCAATTAGAGAAAGCCTGCATGCAGCAAAGAAGACCCAGTGCAACCAAATAAATAAATAAAGACTTCCAGGGGATGTAGCAGAGAAGAGCAGAAAGAAAGACATCAGGAGAACCCAGCACCAGTAATGGCCCTGCCACCACTTGCTGTAACCATTCTTTGCCCACAAACTGAAACAATTCAGGAAGTACAGTGGAACAATTCCCCACTTTCCTGGCAGTCCAGCTAAGACCCTCTTCCAAAAGCATGTTTGAGCTCAAGAGAAAGTTCCTAATTAGTCAGAGCTGGACTTGCAAAAACTTCGTCCCAGCCCTAATTCGGAGTTAGAGCAAGACATGGGAGCAGGGCTAAAGATGGGCCAAGGCTAGAGACCTTCACTAGTGCAGACAGTCCTTGATGCCTACTCTGACACTGATCGCTCCTGAAACGGCCAGACACTCCATCCCCCAAACTGGTTTACTGGGAAGCTGGCGGGCTTCCAGCTCAGGAACAGGGTTCATGAGGAAATTGGAACCAATGGCCTTCCAGGGCACATTTCCTTACTCACTTCAGTACTTGAGCAATTCAGTTTCAGTTTGAGAAACATAACCATTCTTACTGCATCTTAAAACTACAACACATGACTGCTGTTATTTATGAAATGGAAAAGAGGAAATGTGGAAAATATAAAATGTAATACAGTTTGCAGCAACATGGATGGACCTAGAGATTCTCATACTAAGTTAAGCAAGTCAGAAAGAGAAAGACAAATGCCATGTGATGTCACTTCTATGTGGAATCTAAAATATGACACAATGAACGTATCTATGAAACATAAGGGAAAGACCTGTGGTTGCCAAGGGGTGTGTGGTGGGGGGAGGGAAAAATTGAGAGAGTGGGGTTAGCAGATACAAACTATTACATATAGAATGGATAAACAACAAGATCCTTCTGTATAGTACAGGGAACTATATTCAATATCCCATGATAAACCATAATGGAAAAGAATATGAAAGAGTATCTACATGTATAATTGAATCGCTTTGCTATACCACAGAAATTAACACAACACCATAAATCAACCACACTTCAAAAAAACAAGAAATGTAGTATGGGTTAAAAACGAACAAGCTCCTCAATGTCATTATGGGGAAGCAGGCTGCCAAGGAGCTGGTGAAAGAGTGACAGGCCCCAGGAGGCCCACAGTGGCAGCCAGGACATGTTAATAAGAGCTGGCCCAGGACTTGGCATGGGCAGAGGGACTTCAACAGAACTGGTTGCTGCTCCACATGTGGGTGTCAGCTTTCCTGCCTTGAGTGGGAGCCCCAAAAGTGTCCCTAAAATCTAATCCCATGGCAGGGGTGGGGAGGTAAGACTTTAGTTTGGTGAACTAGGACAGCCTCCTAAGGAATGTCCTAAATTAACAGAGTGTTATTAATAATACCTCAGGGAAATTTAGCCTGGAGATATGCTTGCAATGGTGTCTATTCAAGGTTTTTCATTGCAGCATTGTTTGTAACAGCAAATTTGGAAGCAAATGTCCATCGACAGGAAGTGAGTTAAATAAATCACGGTGAAGTGGTATGATAAGAGACCAGGTGTAGCTGAGAGGAGGAGAAGGATGCTCTCGAAGCCTGGAGCGATCTAAAGACACGCTGTTAAGTGAGAAACAAACAGACAAATAAGCAAAAAAACACAAAAGACACTTAGGGAAATACAGCCGTTATTTCATACACTTTAGATGGAGTACAATCCATAAAAATATTGAATCACTATGTTGTACATCTGATACTAACAATATTGTAAATTAACTGTAGTTCAATAAAAAAATAATAAAATTAAACCAAAAACCCCTAAAAGATACCAGTGTGATTGTACTATGTTGTATGTACCTTTTGTGTAAGAAGGTGGAAAATAAGGATTATCTAGATATAATTTAAAAGAGTAGTAAATCCAAAGAGGGTTCTGGAATGGGGCAGATGAGGGATAAGGATTAAAAACGGGATTCATGGGCTTTCCCTGGTGGCTCAGTGGTAAAGAATCCACCTGCCAATACAGGAGACACAGGTTCAGCCCCTGATCCAGGGAGAGCCCACATGCCAAGGAGCAACAAGGCCCGTGTGTCTGCTCTAGAGCTCAGCAGTCACAACTACTGAGCGCACGTGCCCGAGAGCCTGAGCTCCACAGGAGAAGCCACCACAATAAGAAGCCCACGCACCGCAGCTCGAGAGTAGCCCCTACTTGCCTCAACTAGAGAAAAGTCTGCACAGCAGTGAAGACCCAGCACAGCCAAAACTACATCAATAAGTAAATAACATTATTTAAAAAAAATAGGACTCTGATATATACATTTAAAAATCATTTCCAGGTTTTAAACCCACATTCAAGAGGTTTGAATAAATAACAAATTTAAAAACTACAAGAATGGAGTTATATACACATTTCCTTGACTGTGCACACCTTTCACAAAGGAAACTGCTATTTGGGACTGTCTTTCTGTTGGGGGCTGAGTAGGAGGGAAGACAATTTTTGCTATAAATCCTCTTGGACTGTTTGTATCTTTGCCATGTTAATTATATTCTTATCTTTTCAAAATGTATGTTTTAATGGTATAGTGATGGTTTCTTGTTATCAGGTGCTGTCCAAGCATTTCGCACCAAGGAGAAGCAACAGAGAACACGACAGGACATCCATTGTCTCACCCCAGCCAGCTGGACTTTCAACCCCTGCTCCTCCAACTTACCAGCTGCATTATTTTAAACAAGTTACTCTGCCACTTTGGGATTCAACTTTCTCACCTGTAAAGTGGAGGATAGCAACAGCAGTTCCTTTATGAGGTTGCTGAGAACTGATGCATGTATACACACATGCACAGCACACATCATGTCACATGTACGGCTGCTCAGTCGTGTCCCACTCTTTGCGACCCCATGGACTGTAGCCCGCCAGGCTCCTCTGTCCGTGGGATTTCCCAGGCAAGAATACTGGAGTGGGTTGCCATTTTCTTCTCCAGGGGATCTTCCTGACCCAGGGATCGAACCTGTGTCTCTTGTGTCTCCTGCCTTGGCAGGCGGGTTCTTTACCATTAGCATACATACACGCTCACACATCTTTTGTGTATGTGTATTATTTTTCTTATTGGAGTATGATTGCTTTATTGGAGTATGAGTCAGCCACACGTATACATGTGTCTCCTCCCCCTCGCGCCCCCCCCCCCCACTCCCCGCCCCCCTCCTCCAGGCCGTCAGAGCTCTGAGCTGAGCTCCCTGTGCCATACAGCAGCTTCCCACGAGCTAGCGACATCTCGGACGTACATGACATGTAACATACTGCGCGCACGTGTGTAGGCAAGTACGCAAATGACTGTTTGCCGTTCCTATCAAACACAATCTTCACAACAAAACTGGCAAGTTACGTAAAATGGACACTTGTGGGGTCGGCTGCTCAGCCCACATTCCTGTTCCTCCTGATACCAGGGCCCTAACTCTCCCTGAGGAATAACCTGGCTCCATCCTCAGCCCACGAGCTTTGGCTGGGGGTCCACTCAAGGCCCACAGACGACCTAACCTAAGCTGGTCAACGTATCACATTCTCCAGGCTTCTGTTACTAGTTCGGAGGCAGAAAAACCAGGCCAATCAGGCCCCATCAGAGTGAATTTCAAGACACAGCTGGAGTCAGGGGCTGCGGTTCTGCCCTCTTACCCCGCAGTGGGGACTGTGAAGGAGGCAGCTTCTGATCCTCAGGATCCTTTCTCCCGCTCACATGTACTAACACAATTTTCAGCTGGGCATGTGGCCACCAAGGTAAAATCTACATTTTCTGGACTCCCTTGTAGCTTGGTGTGGCCACAAGGCAGGCGTTAAGGCCAGCAGGATGTAAGTGGAAACACGTATAACTTTTCAGCCAGGGCCTCGAGGGGAAGGAGGGCCCCGTCCCCTCTCCCTTTCCTCCTTCCTCCTCTGGCTGAACCGTGAGCCACCATGGACCATGCGGACAAGAGCAAAACCTGGGCCACACGCCACCACCACTGAGCTTGTGCTCTGCAACAAGTCCTCCTGCTGCAACAAAGACCTGGCGCAGCCAAAAAAAAGGAGAGAGAGACAGAGAGAGGGAGAGCATGAGCAAAACCTAAAGACAGCAGGACCCAGAGACGTGGACAGAAGCTGTTCAGCCTTGAACTACCTGATCTGAATGCAGGTAAGGGAGACAGCATGTATTCATCTAACACAGAACCTCTGCAGAAGGAGCGGCTGGCCTGGGGGAGTGTGAGGCAGGAAGTCAAAGGGACAGAGGGAGAAACGAGGTGTTGGTGCCATTACTTTTGGCCCCTGCGCTAACCTGGGCCTCAAGGCCTCTGCAATGACGTACACGAGTCACTCCCCTCTTGCTTAAGCCAGCTTTGGTTGCACTTTGCGCCCTCATAGTCTAAAGAATCCTGTGACCATGAACAATGAGACCTAGTATCATCTCCACCCTGCAGGGGAGGGAAGGGAAGCTCAAGGACATGCAGGAACCTGGACAAACTGAAGTCACCTGGCAGGTGAACTATTAGGTTGGTGCGAAAGTAATTAATGGTTCTGCTTTGTTGAACTTTGCCATTTGATATCAGAATAGATTCTTAAATAAATGTGGTTGTGTTATACATCACTTTCTATCCTGAAGCACAGATTTTTATGCTCCAGGAATAAGCAAACCTATTTCTTGTTGGCAAAAATGTGTTGATTGTAATGGCTCCTATTTTGATGAATAAAGATATGTTTAAGCCTAGTTATAATGATTTCAAATCCAGAGTCTGAAACCGTAATTACTTTTGCACCAACCGAATAACTGGGTCAGTGAGTGGCTGGGCTGCAGTGGCACCCAGGTGGGTCCAATCCTGGAGCCAGAACCACTCCGTCTTCCGGGGAAGCCTGGGCTTCTCAGTGCCATGAGTGAACCTCTCACTGAGAACCACTCGCTAGCTCTGGGGCCAGGCTGCAGGCCTGACCACCAAGCCCTGGAGTGGAGAGGGCCCTGGGAGGCAGACAGGGGAGGCAGGTGCAGACCCCAAGCTCCGCCTGTGGCAACTCACCCCAGCACGCGCTTGGCAATGATGTCCACCTTCTCTGAGATGGCACCCAGCTGCGCTCGACCCACCACAGGGCGGGTCCACAGGTAGGAGTACGCTGGGGAGACCAGATCTTGCAGGCGGCAAACGTGACCCTGGGGAGAGAGAGGTGGTCACTGAATGTACTGGGGGGGGCGGGGGACCCTGACATGGGAAGGGGGAGGAGTGGGGCGCCACCCACTCCCCAGGTCTCCGGGCTCCTGTCCCCACACCTGTCTCAGCAGGATGATCCTCTCCACGTAGGCCGGGTCTAGCACCTCTCTGTCCTGCAGCTGGCTCCCGAACGCCTCCTCCACCAGGGCCTGCAGCTGGCCCACCAGCTGGCATCTCTGGGTCTCGTCGCCCACCAGCCGGCTGAGGTGCAGCCTGCAGGAAAAGCCAAGAGACCGTGCTGCTGCAGCCACCCCCAGCCCTGCCAAAACCCTCCTCCCTGGGGGAGTGAGTGGGCTTTACAAAATGACTCCTTCCAGGGTATGCTCTCCCTCCAGCTGGGCTGGAGCAGTGGGGAGACTCCCGACAGTCTGCCTGTGACTCAGCTCCCCGGCGCCTCTCACCTGGCCCACTGCCCTCCCCTGAGCCATCATTTGAATTCAGGACTCAGTTAAAAAGCTCAAGTTTTGCTGTCAGGTCAAATTTTCTTTTCAGAATTCTTCTAACTTTCTTGTTCCCTCCTTCAGAAGCAGCAGAGCCTCTAAGACTCCAAGCCTCAAACCAGGCCCTGTCGGTCCTTAGACCCTGGGCTGCCCTCACCCTGTCCCTGGCAGGACTGGAGGGACCCCAGGGTGTGAACAGCACAGGGCGGAGGGCCACTCTGGAGGTGTGTGCCCTCCTGTCCCTGGTGTGGAAGAAAGGCAGTCAGCAAGGGATGGGTGACCATCTCATGAGCTCTGAGATCGGGCAGGCCTGTGAGTGAAGCCAGCCCTGCCAGATATCTGCAGCAAGTGATAGATACAAGCACTCAGAGCTCAGGATACTCATCTGTTACCATGGGGGCAACAGAGCCTCCCTCACAGGGTGCTGGGCGGAGCCCAGGAGGGGCTGTCTGAAGCGCTGAGCACAAGGCCAGTGTGGCCGCCACAGCTGGGAGCCGGAGCCGGGCCGGGAGTCTGAGCAGAGGCTTAGGTGAGGCAGAGGGTGGAAGGACAAGACCCTCTGGGAAGCAATCCGGAGCACGCCGTGGCCCCAAAACATCATTTTCTAAAACAAATGGAGGGAATTCCTTGGCGGTGGTCCAGTAGTTAGGACTCATGCTTCCACTGCAGGGGGTACAGGTTCCATCCCTGGTCAAGGAACTAAGATCCCACATACTGCCTGCCAGGCACAGCAAAAAAAAAAAAAAAAAACGAATGAAGAGAAATCACATGAAATTGTACTAAAGCTGTTTCTAGGAGCTCTGCAACTAGATGAGACAGCGGGAAGAAAGAAATCAAGAGACCATGTGATGTGGTCATGCTTGAGATAATCCACGAAAGGTCCAGGGATCCATGCCTGGGACAGAGCATGTGCTAGACAAATGTCAGTTATTATTACTACCTCCACCAAGCCAATGGCACTGCTATGACAGCTACTATCTTTACTACTGTTACTGAAATAGTCATGGCAGTGGCTTGATTACAGAACTACCTAAAGCGAACAGCTTCGGCTGTATGACACCTGCAGGCATCAACTGCAAGCAAAAGCCACAGCCGTCTTCCTCTGACTCCCCTCGTGCTCTGGGGAGGACTGGAATGGGTCACCAAGTAGCGTCCCTGTTCTGACCCCATTTCTCCCCGGGATGTCACCTTCTCCATGATGAGAAAGGTGGCGTGCAAGCTGCATTCAACGTGCACGTTGCACTTGCTCCTGAATGTCCCATGCAGGAGAGGCCCGCTGGGAGCTCCGTGGTGGTCCAGTGGTTACGGGACTCAGTACTTTCACTGCCATGGCCCAGGTTCAATCCCTGGTCGGGGAACTGTGATCCCACAAGCCTTGCAGCATCCCTCCCCACCCTCCCAAATAAACAAAAGCAGAAATACCCACCACTACAGTATGAACTTGAACCTGCTTTGTTATTTAACTTCTGGACATCTTGCTCTCGTTAAATGCACAACAGGGCAAAATCATACCAGTGACCCCTGGTATCTGATGGGGGAAGTAACATCCTTGAGGCAAATGCAGTTGATGTGAACCCCCTGGGCTCACGCAAGTAAAACACTGAGAGCCTGTCCCCAAACCAGGTCAAGAGGAGGCATCAAGGAGTTCCAGCCCCCCTAACTACAGACCTGTCCGTTGGCTTTCCCACCAATGCCCTTAGCCCGAGACGTGGCAACAGGGATCCAAACTCTAACTGTGGCTGGAGGTTTCAGAGAGAAGGTGTGGTGGTGTTGTTCAGTCTCTTAAGTTGTGTCTGATTCTTCTGTGACCCCAAGGACTACAGCCCGCCAGGCTCTTCTTGTCCATGCGATTTCCCAAAGAATACCGGAATGGGTTGCCATTTCCCGCTCCAGGGGATCTTCTCAACCCAGGGATCAAACTTGTGTCTCCTGAATTGGCAGGCTGACTCACCAGTGAAACCTTCAGAGGGAAGAACTACTTGAGATGTGAAAACCATGGCAAGAGGCGGCGCTCACTCACTGTACTGGCTGGGTTGGGGAGGGGCTGATCAAGCGTAACTCTGAAGACAAAGAACAAACCTGCCATTTGACTGAGCACTTTCTCCGTGCAAAATAGCTTGAGGCTGAATTTAACTGAACAGTGGCACAAGGCCAGTACTATTATTGGCCCCATTTTTTAAAGAAATTCTCAGCGAGTTAAAAAGATGTATTACCCTTCCAGCCTTCACGTGAGCCCAGAACCTGTGGCTCGTCGTGGGAGGACAGGACAGCGAACAAACCCAGGTACCTGACACCGCTCTTTGCTGGATCCCTGCTCCCCAGAGTGGCTGACAGTGGGGCCACCCCTTCAGCCTCTGCCCCATCACCCTGACAGCGCTCCGAGGCTGGGGCAGGCGGCCTCATGATCCCCGAGCTCTCAGTTCTGAGGCCACCTCTACACCTCCAGTACTGGAGAAGCCTGCTAGGGTCGGCACCATGGATCTGGCCTGAGGGAGGGAGAGACTGTGCAGGAGGAGTTGTCTCAAGGTAATAGTCCCATTATAGAGAAGAGGAAACAGAGGCTCGAAGAGATTAGGTGACTTACCTGCGGTCACACAGCACTAGACGCCTAAGACCGCAGTAAAAATCAAGTGTGTGTGACTCCAGACCCCACTAAGACATCCGCATGGGGACCCAGCATCAGCAGGTGAGCCCTTTCCTCCCAGGGGTGAGTGCTCCAGATTCCCCGCTCACCTGTTGAATTCTGGAAGCTTCTCCAGGTCCAGCAGGGCTGAGTGGCAGGTGACCCGGCTCAGGTCAAACTGTGTGATCAGCTCTGGCAAGGTCCGGCCTATCTGGTTCTCTGCAAGTGAGGAGGCCCAGCTGCTCAGCATTCTATCACACCACTCCCCCGTAAACCACCCATCACCACTGCATTTTCAATCACGAGGAAGGCTGGCCAAACAGATTTGATTTCTAGTCATTTTGCATATCAAGGGTACGAATGAGCTTTCATCTGCAGAAAGGGTTCTGTTACTAAGGGGGAAAAAAGCTTGAAAACAGAATCTGCCTAAATCAACCCTCACTGCCCTCAAAGACATGAGCTGCAAGAACAGCCTGCTCATCTGTCTGGCTGTGGGCCAGGGATCCCGATTGACTGGTTTTGGATGGGGTCTGAGTGGAAGTGTACTTTACAAGCTTCCTGGGGGATTTCAAACTGCAGCCAGAGTGAGAAAGCTGAGCCAGGAGCTGCTTCCCTCAAGCCACGGCTCCATCCCACGCAGTAAGTGGGCATCCTGGTCAGCCTCACACCTCTGCCACATCCTTCACTAGCTGTGTGACTTCAGTGAGTTACTCAACCTCTCTGGGCCTCATAAGCTTCTAACAAACAGTGGTGATAATACATCCTTCTCATGGGGATTTTAAGGCTTAAATAAGACAAGAGCAGAAAAAGCAGCAGGCAGACTATTTATGGCCATGTTTTCAGAAACCACCCCTGACCAAAGAGGTCACTCTACTTTGCGCATCATCAAGATGTGGGCCTGATATCTTGGGTCAGCTTGGAATACACTAGGGTCACAGTAATACCAGTAATACTCCCAGAGTACATACTTACTCTACTCTAATAAAATAACTGCAATAATCACAGGATCTGTAGTGTTTGTGCTTATCGTGTGGCAGATACTCTGCTGGCTCCCCATAGGAGCTCGGTGAACCTGAATGTTAGTCAGAGAGGAAGATACTTAGCCCCATTTTACAGATGAGGCAACCAAGGCTCACAGATTATAAGCTCCTTTGAGGCCAGAGATTACACCTTACTCACTGCTGTAGCCCCAGAACTTAACATGGTACCTGGCTCAATAAATGGTGGACAAATAAAGAGAAAGAACTCATATAAGATCACATAGCCATGGCCTCCCTGGTGGTCCAGTGGGGACCTTGCAATGTAGGGGACACCCGTTTGACCCTGGATCTGGGACATGCCTCGGAGCAACTGGGCCACCACAACTACTGAGCCTGTGCCCCTCAACAACAGAAGCCACCACACTGAGAAGCCCACAAACCACCATAAAATAAAATCAATAAACTAAAAAAAAAAAAAAAAATCACACACAACCTCTGGGCAGCAACAGCTGAGACTGAAGGCTGGGTAGCCTGACCCAAGGCCCCAGCTCCTCACCACTATGGTCCCACCAGGACCTCTCAGGGGAGTGAGTACCTGCAAACCCCGAGCCGCAGTTGGTGATGATGTCGAGCAAGGCGTCCGGCAGGAAGCCAGTGGCAGCAAAATGCTCCAGGAAGATGTCCCCTTGCCTCTTGGACAGCTTGCTGCCATCCCTGTTGAGGAGCAGGGGCAGGTGGGCAAAGTGTGGGGGCTGCCAGCCCAGGGCCTGGTAGAGAAGCAGGTGCTTGGCGGTGGAGACCAGCCACTCGGAGCCCCGCAGCACGTGGCTGATGCCCATGTGGTGGTCGTCCACCACGCAGGCCAGGTGGTACGTGGGGAAGCCATCGCTCTTCAGGATGACCGGGTCCCCCTCCACGGTGGCCACCTCGTGCCGATTCCAGCCGTATACCAAGTCCTGGAAGGCTGGCGCCTCCCCCTCCAGGCGGAAGCGGATGGCAGGCTTGGGGTCCGTGGCCAGCTTCTGGGCCACCTGTGCCTGGCTCAGGCTCCGGCACCTATTGTCATACCTGTTGAGAAGCAGAGCGGGAGCTAAGAGTTACTAAGAGCACTGGTGATGGGTGTGAGCCTCAGCCGTGTCTCTGATAACTGTGACCCTGGGCAGCTCATTTACCTCTCTCAGCAATTTCTTCTGTCTTGAATGGGGATAATACGGTTGTTGTGTGGGAGAGCTAAGTGTAATAACAGAGCACAGCAGACTCAAGTCTGTTTCCTTTCTTCCTTGCTTGACATTCTTCCTTGTCAAATGTCACCCAAGGGGGTGAATCACGATGGGTGTTGCTAGGTGTGCGATCCCATTCCTCTATACAACTGACCCATCCACACTGGACCATTCTAGTCACTGAGATTCAAAGAGACGTATGCCTGGCGGGTAGGGGATGATGAAGATTCTGGGAAAGATTTTTCTCTCCAAGTGAGCCTGAGAGTGAGCCACAAGCTGCTGCAGCCACTTGGAAGTGACTGAGGGAGGGAGGCAGCAAGAGAGGCAGCAAGACAACAAAAGAGAGTCCCGCCTTCTCAGAGCTGCTGGTTTCGTCCTGGAGGCCCCCACCTCCAGCTGCTGCAGAATGAGAAGGCGAACGTCTATGTGGTCTATGCCCTGACTACTCAAGGTGTGGTCTGTGGACCGCCAGCATCAGCCTCACTCTGGAGACTGTCAGATATGCAGCATCTCAGCCCCTCCCCAGGCCTGCTACATCAGAAGCTGCCCGTTAACTAGATCTTCAGGTGATCCTTCTGCACATTAAAGTATGAGAAGCTCCAGTTTGTCCGTTTTAAAGAGTATTTGTTACCTGTTCCCAAAAGTGTACTGATACACAAATGCAACACTTGAAAGCACTGTCTCTGACACTGAGCTAAATACTCAGTGGCTTCATGGATTCCAAGACAGAGCATGATGGTAATTAAAAAAAAAATAATAATCTTCTGTCAACGGGCAAATAGACTGTTTTATGATTTAAAAAGCAATGCTGTAGTGAATGTCGTGACCTTGTATGAATCTCCAAGCCCTTGTCCAAAGAGTTCACTGACACTGGAACTTGAATGCTATGCTGATGGGAGTGCGAGCTAATAAAGGGCCACTAGACAGTATCTATCAAAGCTGCAAATTGACCCTGCAACTCCAAATCTAGGGCGGTAACCCAAAACACACACACTGCAGACATGCAAAATGATGGACATCAACACTGCGCCTCAGCACCCTCTATTTTTAACACAAAAGATTAGAAGTGACATGAATGTTCATTAGTAAGGAACTGATGAAGTGAGTGAGGACTCAGCCCTGTGACTGAATAGTCTGTAAGTGTAAGGAAATTTACGGACTCACACAGACTGATCCTCATCACAATCAGTGGCATCTATAAGCTGCATGATAAATGTGTGCTACCATTTGAGCGGAGAAGGAGGGGAAACAGCACGCGTTCATCAGTGTCTGCACTGCACATCTCTGGAAGACACACCTTTGGACTGTCTCTGGACAGGGAATCAAAGAGCCAGAGTCAAGGCTGGGACAGATCTTTGCATATACACCTTCCTGAACATGAGACAGATTTCACTAATCTAAAAAGAGAGAATTATTTTAAAACATTTATTTGGCTGTGCCAGCACGTGGAATCTTTTATTTTCAGTTGTGGCAGGTGAACTCTTCATCTTCTTAGGTGGCTCAGCAGTAAAAAATCCACCTGTGATGCAGGAGATATGGAAGCTCAGGTTTGACCCCTGAGTTGGGAAGATTCCCTGGAGAAGGAAATGGCAATCCACTCCAGTATTGTTTCCTGGGAAATTGCATGAACAGAGGAACCTGGCAGGCTACAGTTCATGGGGTCGGGCTACAGATCATGGAGTCGCAAAACAGTTGGATGCGACTGAGCAACTAAACAACGTGAAGCTGCGTCATGTGGGATCCAGCTCCCTGACCAGGGATTGAACCCAGGCCCCCCCACGTTGGGAGTGCAGCGTCTCAGCCACTGAATCACCAGGAAGTCGCCAAATAAGAGAGAAGTTCAATGACCTTACACACCTGAGGCCCAGGTTGGCAGGCAGAGCTGACCCAGCCCCAGAGACACCCCCTCCCCGGTGTTTCTGCCTGTGTCCTCCCTGCCCTCGAGTGCGGGCTGGCCCTCCTGACTTCCTTCTGGTGACCAGAGCACAACACAGCAATGAGACGTCACTTCCTCGACGCAGTGACGCAGAGGCTGCAGCTTCCGCCCTGCTCGCTGCCCTCCCTGCCCACTGCCTTCTCCCCAGCTCGCCTGAAGGAATGTCAGCTGCCAAGTGGCGAGCTGCCCGGAGGAGAGAGGCCCACTCGGCCGGGACTGTTGTCTCCAGGCAATAGCCTCTGAGAGGGATGGAGGCAGATCCTCCGCAGATCCTACCACGAGCCCAGCCTCGCGGTAACCGCCAGGCTGGCCTAGACCCCGATGGTGGCTTTAAGAAACCCTGAGCCGAAGGAGCCAGCTAAGCTGTGCCCAGACTTCTGACCTCCAAGAAGCCTGAGGTAGGTGGGTTGGGTGTCATCTGTGATGCAGCAGGAGCGAACGAACGCAGCCGCCCCTGGGGAGGCATGGTGACAGGCTGGGGCTCTCACCGGGGCGTCTGGCGGTTCCTCAGGGCCTCCTTCTTCAGGAGCTCCAGTCGCTGGGGTGAGCAGAAACACGGGTATGCAGCGCCGCTCTTCAGCAGGGCTTCGGCGGCCTGGGCGTAGAGCGCAAGCCGCTGAGACTGCAGGTAGGGCCCAGCAGGGCCTCCGTGCCGGGGGCTCTCGTCCGGTGGCACGCCTGGGACACAGGCAGAAGGCAATCACCAAACAATAATGAACACGGCGCAGGTTCCCAGGCACCACTACAAGTGTTCCACACACCCAGGTGGTGGTGGTGGTAGCTGCTCAGTCGTGTCCGACCCTGCGGTCCCAAAGGCTGTAACCCGCCAGGCGCCTCTGTCCGTGGGACTCTCCAGGCAAGAATGCGGGAGCCGGTCCCTTCTCCAGGGGGACCTTCCCGACCCAGGGATCGCATCTGGGTCTTCTGAGTTGCAGGCGGATCCTTTACCATCTGAGCCGCCAGAGCAGCCCTTCACACACACTGCGGAGCTTTCAATCCTGCCGACAATCCATGAGGCCATCACTCTCATAATTACCCTTTCCAGATGAAGAGGTAAGCACAGAGGGATTAACGTTTAAGGTCACGAGGCTGGTGGGGAAGCAGGCGGATGGAGGTGCACCAGCTCCACGATCCACGCCCTCTGGGGCACATCCTCTTCCTCCATCCTTGCCCTGAGGAGGGACAAACCAGCCCTGCCCTGGAACCGCGGACTCAGGAGAAGCAGCGTGGTTCAGGCACAGCCAGTCCAGCCGAGCTGGACTCCTGGGTTGGCCCCTGACTGACCGTGACAAGGGACGGTGCCGAGAACCTGCGAAGCTGCTTTGTATTTTATGATCACTGCTAAGGCCCCAGACCACCTGACCCGGTAGGTGCTGTTGTGAACCCCACTCAGTTAGGACAACAGAGCAGCACCGAGGGGCTGTGTCACGTCACCTGGCCAAGGACAAGGAGGTGTAACAACATTCAAAGCCTGGCTAGCTGCTCCCAAGTCCATGCGCTTAACCACTCTGTGGACTGCCCCTTGCATTCCTTAGCTTTCCTAGGCCTTGGTTTCCTCCTCTGAAAAGTGGAGCTAAGAGTCTACTGTGAAGAGTGACTAAGACTTAAATGCATCAGTGTTTACAAAGTGCTTAGCCCAATGGCTTCCGTGCAGAACATGGAAGCTGCAACATATGCTGTTAGATCAAACGCGATCCATTATAAGCCCAAACCCCAGCCCAAAGTTTGGTTTCCACAGGTCACAAAGGATAGATTTCAGTTACAAATGCTTCCAGGAGAGGCAGAGGGGACACAGAAGAGCAGGATGATGGTGTTTCTTCCCTCAGAGGGCTTTCAAATGAATTACGAAGCTAGGGATGGGGATAATCCTGCACACCCAATGTTCTATAGTCTCTTGAGGTGGAGGGGCCTGGGCTCAAAGGCACTGGCCAGCTCTAAGGCCAGGCAAGACACCTTGTACAGCCTCCATTTCCTCTTTTAAAAAAGAAGCAAACAAACATTTACTTAGGCTTCCCTGGTGCTCAAACCATAAAGAGCCTGCCTACAATGGAGGAGACCCGGGTTCAATCCCTGAGTTGGGAAGATCCCCTGGAAAAGGAAATGGCAACCCATTCCAGTACTCCTGTCTGGAGAATTCCATAGACGGAGAAGCCAGCTACAGTCCATGGTGTCACAAAGAGTCAGACACGACTGACTAACATGTAACACACAAACATTTACTTTCTCCTGAGGGTCATCATGAGGCGGGAATGAGACAGCCTCTGGAAAGGCTCGGCACCCTGCCTGGCATATCTCAGCTCTCAGTAGGTCCTGGCTGCCAGAATCATTGGTTCTGTTGATATTGGTATTGCTTCATTTGTCAGATAAGGGGGGCTGGGTTACAAGCATCTGGGGTTCCTTCTTGATCTAATGTTAGCACGTCCAACATTTGGTATATGCTCCAGGGTTTAAGAGCGACTCCACTAGATCCAAATAAGAAATAGTATGTAAACGTTCATAGCAATTTGATTCATCATATCCAAAATGTAGAAACATTTCAAATGCCCAACCACTGATGAATGAATAAGCAAAAAGTGGTATCTTCACATAATGAATATTGTTTGGTCATAAAAAAGAAAGAATTCTTTCACGCTACAACATACATGCTGCAACATCCCCTTCAGGGATCACAGCCTTGTCGTGGAGAAGGGGTATGTGTACCTCAATGAAGCTCTGAGCCAGGCCACGTAGGACCACTCAAGACAGACAGGTCACAGTGGAGAATTTTGATAAAACATGGGCTACAGGAAGAGGAAATGGCAATCCACTGCAGAGTTCTTACCGTGAGAACCCCATGAGCAGTATGGAAAGTCAAAAAAATGGTATCAGAATATAAGCCCCACCCCACCCCGAAGTCGGTAAGTGTCTGATATGCTATTGGAGAAGAGTAGAGGGCAATTACTAACAGCTTCAGAAAGAATGAAGCAGCTGGGCCAAAGTGGAAACGACAATGCATTGTGGATGTGTCTGGTGGTAAAAATGAAGTCTGATGCTGGAAAGAACAATACCGCATAGCAACCTGGAATGTTAGGTCCATGAATCAAGGTAAATTGGACATGGTCAAGCAATAGATGTCAAGAGTGAACATCAACATCCTTAGGAATCGGTGAACTAAAATGGATGGGAATGGGTGAATTTAATTTGGATAACCATTTTATCTACTACTGTGGGCAAGAATCCCTTAAAAGAAATGACGTAGCCCTCATAGTCAACAAAAAAGTACGAAATGCAGTACTTGAGTACAATCTCAAAAACGCCAGAATGATCTCGGTTTGTTTCCAAGGCAAACCATTCAACATACAGTAAATCCAAGTATATGCCCCAACCACTGACGCCGAAGAAGCTGAAGTTGATCAGTTCTATGAAGAGTTACAACATCTCCAAGAATGAACAGCAAAAAAAGATGTCCTTTTCATCACAGGAGATTAGAAAGCGAAAGTAGGAATTCAGGAGATATCTAGAATAACAGGCAAGCTTGCTTTCGGAGTACAGAAATCAATCAGGGCTAACGCCAACAGAGTTTTGCCAAGAGAACAGGCTGATTACAGCAAACACCCTCTTCCAACAACCCAAGAGATGACTCTACACACGGACATCACCAGATGGTCAATATCGAAATCAGATTGATTATGTTCTTTGCAGCCAAAGATGGAAAAGCTCTACACATGAGAAAAAATAAGACCTGGAGCTGACTGTGGCCCAGATCATGAGCTTCTTACTGCAAAATTCAGGCTTAAATTGAAGAAAACAGGGAAAACCTCCAAGTTATTTGTTGCTGTTGTTCAGTCGCCAAGCTGTGTCCAACTCTGCGACTGCAGCATGCAAGGCTTCCCTGTCCCTCACCATCTCACAATGTCCATTGAATCCGTGTTCCCATTCAACCATATCATCCTCTGTTGCTCTCTCCTGCTTCTGCCTTCAATCTTTCCCAGCATCAGGGTCTTTTCCAATAAGTCAGCTGTTCGCATCAGGTGGCCACAGTACTGGAGCTTCAGATTCAGCATCAGTCCCTCCAAAGAGAATTTAGGGTTGATTTCCTTTAAGATTGACTGGTTTGATCTCCTTGCTTTCCAAGGGATTCTCAAGAGTCTTCTCCACACCACAGTCCAAATGCGTTGATTCTTCGACGCTCTGCCTTCTCTATGGCATGCTGTCACATCCATACACGACAACTGGAAAGACCATAGCCTTGACTATATGGTCTTTGTTAGCAAAGTGACATCTTTCCTTTTTAACACTCTGTCTAGGTTTGTCACAGCTTTCCTGCCAAGAAGCAATTGTCTTCTAATTTCATGGCTGCTGTCACCATCTGCAGGGATTCTGGAGCCCAAGAAGAGGTATCTGTCACTACTTCCACCTTTCCCCCATCTATTTGCCATGAAGTGATGAGACTAGATGCCATGATCTTAGTTTTATCAATACAATATTTAGTTTTAAGCTGGCTTTTTCACTCTCCTCTTTCACCCTCATCAAGGGGCTCTTTAGTTCCTCTTCACTTTCTGCCATTAGAGTGGCGTTATCCACATACTGAGGTTGTTGCTATTTCTCCCAGCAATCTTGACTCTAGCATGTTAATGCATTCGGTCCAACATTTTGCATCATGTGCTCTGCGTACAGGTTTAATAAACAGGGTGATAATAAACAGCTTTGTGGTACTCCTTTATCAATCCTGAACCAGTCAGTTGTTCCTTACAGGGTTCTACCTTGCTTCCTGACCCACATACAGGTCTCTAAGGAGACATATAAGAAAGTCTGGGATTCCCATCTCCTTAAGAGTTTTCCACACTTTGTGATGATCCACACAGTCAAAGGCTTTAGCATAGTCAATGAAACAGAGGTAGATGTTTTTCTGGAATTCCCTTGCTTTCTCTGATCCAGCATATGTTGGCAATTTGATCTCTCGTTCCTCTGCCTTTTGTGAACCTAGCTTGAACATCTAGAAGTCCTCGGTTCACGTAATGCTGAAGGCTAGTTTGAAGGATTTTGAGGATAAACTTACTAGCATGGGAGATGAGTGCAGCTGTCTGGTGGTTTGAACACTCTTTAGGACTGCACTTCTTGGGAACTGGGATGAGTACTGACCTTTTCCAGTCCTGTGGCCATTGTTGGGTTTTCCAAATTTGCTGACATATTCATTGTAGCACTTTAATAGCATCATTTTTTAGGAATTTAAATAGCTCTGCCAAAATTCCATTGCCTCCACTAGCTTTATTGGCAGCAGTGTTTCCAAAGACCCACTTGACTTCACACTCCAGGATGTCTGGCTCTAGGTGAGTGAGGGACTGCACCATTATGGTTATCTGGGTCATTAAGATCTTTTTTGCAGAGTTCTGTGTATTCTTTCCACCTTTTCTTTGTCACTTCTGCTTCTATTAGGTTTTTACCGTATTTGTCCTTTATTGTGCCTATCTTGGGATGATTCAGGTATGACCTAAATCAAATCCGTTATGATTATACACTGGAGGTGATGAATAGATTCAAGGCATTAGATCTAGTAGACAGAGTGCTTGAAGAACTATGGATGGATGTCCCTAACATTGTACAGGAGGCAGTGACCAAAACCATCCCAAAGAAAAAGAAACGTAAGAAGGCCAAGTGGTTTTCTGAGGAGGTTTTACAAATACCTGAGGAAAGAAGACAAGCAAAAGGCAAGGGAGAAAGGGAAGATAAATCCAACTGAATGCAGAATTCCAGAGAAGAGCAAGAAGAGATAAGAAGGCCTTCTTAAATGAATGACATAAAGAAATAGAGGAAAACAATAGAATGGGAAAGACTAGAGATCTCTTCAAGGAAACTGGAGAGATCAAGAGAATGTTTCATGAAGGATGGGGACAATAAAGGACAGAAACTGTAAGGACCTAACACAAGGAGTAGAGATTAAGAAGAGGCAGTAAGAATACACAGGAGAATGATACAAAAAAGGTCTTAATGATCCGGATAACCACGATGGTGTGGTCACTCACCTAGAGCCAGACATCCTCGAGTGTGAAGTCAAGTGGGCCTTAGGAAGCATTACTACAAATAAAGCTTGTGGAGGTGACAGAATTTCAGCTGAGCTATTTAGAATCCTAAAAGATAATGCCGTTAAAGTGCTGTACTCAATATGACAGCAAATTTGGAAAACTCAGCAGTGGCTACCGGACTGGAAAAGGTCAGTTTTCATTCCAATGCCAGAGAAAGGCAATCCCAAAGAATGTTCACACTACCATACAATTGCGGTCATTTCATGTGCTAGCAAGGTTATGCTGAAAATCCTTCAAGCTAGGCTTCAGCCTAACTTTACAATCTGGTAGCTAAGATGGTAAAGAATCTGCCTACAATGCAAGAGACCCAGGTTCAATCCCTGGGTTGCGAAGATTCCCTGGAGAAGGAACTGGCAACCCACTTCAGAATTCTTGCTTGGAGAATTCCATGGACAGAGAAGCCTGGCAGGCTACAGTCCATGGGCTTACAAAGAATTGGACACAACTGAGGGAATAAGCAACAGCAGGCTTCGGCAGTATGTGAAACTTTCAGATGTATTAATACAAGCTGGGTTTAGAAAAGACAGAGGAACCAGAGATCAAATCACCGGCACTCATTAGATCATAGAGATAGCAAGAGAATTCCAGAAAAACATCTTTTTCGGCTTCACTGACTATGCTAAAGCCTTTAACTGTGTGGATCACAATAAACTATGGAAAATTCTTAAAGTGATGGGAGTACCAGGCCACCTTACCTGTCTCCTGAGAAACCTGTATGGGGGTCAAGAAGCAACAGTTAGAATCGGACATGGAAAAACAGACTGGTTTCAAATTGGGAAGGGAGTATGTCAAGGCTATATATTGTCACCCTGCTTGTTTAACTTATATGCAGAGTACATCATGCGAAATGCCAGGCTGGATGAATCACAAGTTGGGATCAAGATTGCCGGGAGAAATATCAACAACCTCAGATATGCAGATACCACTCTAACAGCAGAAAGTGAAGAGGAACTAAACAGTCTCTTAATGTGGATGAAAGAGGAGAGTGAAAAAGCTGGCTTGAAACTCAACATTCAAAAAACTAAGATCATGCCATCTGGACCAGATGGCCATCACATTATGGCAAACAGAAGGGGAAAAAGTGAAAGCAGTGAAGATTTTTATTTTCTTGGGTCCCAAAATCACAGTGGACGGTGACTATAGCCATGAAATTAAAAGACGCTTGCTCCTTGGAAGGAAAGTTATAACAAACCTAGATAGTGTATCAAAAAGCAGAGACATCACTTTGCCAACAAAGGTCCATACAGTCAAAGCTGTGATTTTTCCAGTAGTCATGTATGGTTGTGAGAACTGGACCCTAAAGAAGGCTGGTGATGGTGGTTTAGTCACTCACTTGAGTCCAACTCTTGCCTGCCAGGCTCCCCTGTTAATGGGATTCTCCAGGCAAGAATACTGGAGTGGGTTTGCATTTACTTCTCCAAGGGATCTTCCTGACTCAGGGGTCAAACCTTGGTCTCCTGCACTGCAGGCAGATTCTCTACTGATTAAGGCACTAGGGAAGCCCAGAAGGCTGAATGACAAAGAACTGATGCTTTTGAACTGTGGTGCTAGAGAAGATTCATTAGAGTCCCTTGGACTGCAAGGAGATCAAACCAGTCAATTCTAAAGGACATCACCCTGGAATACTCATTGGAAGGACTGATGCTAAAGCTGAAGCTCCAATACTTTGGCCACCTTATGTGAAGAGCTGACTCACTTGAAAAGACCCAGATGCTGGGAAGATTGAAGACCAAAGCACAAGGGGGTGGTAGAGGCTGAGATGGTCAGCTAGACGAATTTGAGCAATTCTGGGAGATAATGGAGGGCAGGGGAACCTGGAGTGCTGCAGTTCATGTGGTCACGACGACTTAGGGACTGAACAACAGCAATATACATGGACCTTATGCTAAGTATAAGCCGGTCGTAAAATGAAACATCTCTAACAGGCAAACCATACAGACTGAGGTTAGCGGTTGCTAATGGCAGGAGAGAAGGAGGAACAGGGAGTGCCTGCTAACTGGTTTGTGGTTTTGAGTTGATAGAAATGTTCTGGAATTAGAGGGGTGATGGATACACAGTATAGTGAATATAGGGAAGATCACTTTGAAATGGTGAGTTTCATATTATATAAATTACACGTTGACTCCTGAAGCTAGAACATCCAGAAATTACCCACCTGTGTGTGGGTCCCTGTCCCCTTCGGTCATACCCTTGGGCCGAGCCAAGGGCTCTAAGAGGCAGGGCGCGTTGGCAGTCTTGCTCACCCCAGCACCCTCATCCGGGCACAGTCTGTGCAGAGCGTGGAGAACATGATCCACACATGGCCGATCATGAGCTCCTGCCAACCACCATGTCCTCGTGTCATATTCCCAAGTCCTCTGGTCTCCTTGGGCTTCCCTGATAGCTCAGTTGGTAAAGAAGCCGCCTGCAATGGGGGAGACCTGGGTTCGATCCCTGGGTTGGGAAGATACCCTGGAGAAGGGAATGGCTGGCCTGGAGAATTCCATGGACTATACAGTCCATGGGGTCGCAAAGAGTCGGACATGACTGAGCAACTTTCACTTTCGCTGGTCTCCTCACTGGGCTTGGGCCACTCTGGCTTCCTTGCTGCTCCTCAGATATGCCCAGCAGTAAGCTTCTGTAGGGCCTTTATATCTGCTACTCCTTGGGCTTTGAGCTTTCTCCCCCTAGGCAACCACAGCACCAACTTCTCACTTTGTGCAAGTCTCTGCACTACTGTCCGCCCCTTGGGGAAGTCTGTCCTGTCTCAAAGAGCACCCACCACTCCCTGCTGGTTTGCTTACCTGCTACCCCTTTCTCTACAGCACTAATCACTGCTTCATGTCATAGTAAGGATGAACTCACCTGTGTTTTTTTTGCCCTACCACCTGGCATATGGGATCTTAGTTCCCTGACCAGGGATGGAACCTGTGCGCCTGGCACTGGAAGCTTGGAGTCTTAACCACTGGACCACCAGGGAAGTCCCTAGAATTCAATTTGTTTGTTTTTTTAAGTCTGTCTTCCCCTGCTCACTAAGGGCAGGGTCTTGGTTTTATGCTCAAATACTACCCGGACCACAGTAAGTGACCTTGGTGCATGAATTCTTTTTTACTCAGCTAATCTCTGAGTTTCTGAAAAACTGAGTTTCTGCTACAATCTTCTATGGTTGAGGACAGAAATGAAATCAGTTTTTGCTTTTCAGTAACCCAGAGTTTAGTTAATGATTTACCTGAGATTAGAACACACGTTGTCAAGACAGTCTTGGAGTTTTGAGCATTTTCCCGTAGGGAGCTTAACTAGTCATACCTGTTCTGACAGGTAGACAGCAGCTGACCTGGGGAACATACACACTCCTCTTTGTCCTCCCTGAGCTTAGCTGGCTTCAGAATTAAACTTCCCACAGGGAGGCCGACTTAAGAGGCTGCACACATTTTGTCCGACTCAAACAATGTGTTCATCTGAGTTCAGATTTGACAATGGGAAGGACTCACCAAAAACGAAACGAAAACAAAAAACCTTGGCGATCTGGCTCCTCCTAGAAATCAGAAGATTTGAGGAGCTGGGCCAGGACTCCCACATGGCCAAAAAGAGCTGGATCTTCCTCAGGCTCTTCACAGCCCTGGAGCCTCCCAGTCCATCTTCCACTTGGCCTGTGTTTCCTGCCTGCTCCCAGGAGGTGAGATTCCGAGATTAAAAACCCTTGGAGGTTCCCCCACTCCCTCCCCGAGGAGCTTCAGTATCTTTCTGGGTGGTACCTGCACAAATGTACCCATTCCTCCGGGGACTCCAAGTTCTCCACCCTGGGCTCCATGAGAAGACCTTCAGGCTCCTTCTCCTGCTCCTTCCCTGGCTTGCTAAATCGCTCAGTGGTGTCCGACCTTTTGCGACCCTGTGGACTGTAACTGGCCAGGCTCCTCTGTCCATGAGACTCTCCAAGCAAGAATATTGGAGTGGGTGGCCAGGCCCTCCTCCAGGGGATCTTCCCCACCCAGGGATCCAACCTGAGTCTCTTGTGATTCCAGCATTGGCAGATGGGTTCTTTACCACTAGCGCCACCTGGGAGAACCCTGCTCCTTCTCTGGAGAAGGGTCCTTTTCCTGCCAGCCTCACCTGCCCACTCGAGCATGTCCTCAATATTCTCTGCTGCCCCAGGCACAAGACGGGTCTGATCCGTGTCCTCCAGCCTGAGGATGAAGCTCCCTTGGTGCTTCTTGGCAAAGATGTAGTTGTACAAGGCAGTGCGGAGGCCGCCCAGGTGCAAGAAGCCTGATGGAAGAGGACAGCTCAGATGAGACGGAGAAGATGAAGCGCAAGTCAATTCTGCTTGTGATAAAAGGGCCCAAGGAACATCAAAGCCCAGGAAATGGCTCTCCCTGTCCCATTTCTCCAGCAGTCAGACTGTCACAGAAGAGGACTGGGGTGGCTGTCTCATTTACCCTCATCCTGGAAGTGGAAGAACACCCAGGTTTTGGAGCATATCATTTTGTAAAACGGCTCCAGCTCTCCCCACCTGCACCCATTGTTTTACTCTTGAGATTTGCCTTGAGACCAAGTTTCACCCAAAGGGGAAACAGATGGTTAGTCACTGAAGCCACTTCACACATGTATTTCATTTATGCAAATTCATTGAGGTCCCTGGGCAAAAAAAAAAAAAAAACTTTGCTAATTGAAAATACTGTACAATTACATTTTGCACATACCCTCTATGCCCTGTATGGACTAACCACATCACACATTTTGAATTTTGACTACTTGACGCTCTAAGTGCAGTCTTTAGATATTAATAAAAACTAATATTCGATTCCACTGTATTTCTCCACCCAAGTTTAAACTCTTAAAGACTTTACTTTTTTCATCATTCCTGACTGAATAGTTAGACTAAACAGTTTTCCCATGGCTGTCATTTCCCCCCTTTACCCTGCCTTCTTTGGACCAGGTCTCGGCCCCGTCTTCACAATGAGCTCATTTGCATCTTCAGGTACTAGCGCCTGAATGAAACAGGAAACACTCCTCTGGGATCAGGCAGACTCTAGCTCAACACTCATTATATAGGTGGCCTTCAGCTAATTATTACAAGGATACCACAAAACCAGAGTTCCCCAAGATAGAAGACATGGGTTGAGTAGTTGAAACCAAGACCTCTTACAGATCTTGATTCAAATTCTGCTTCCTTAGAACATTCTACTTGATTTTTATGAGCTTCAATTTCCTAGTTTGTTAAGAGAGATTGACAACAAAAAATAGAAACCTTCCTTGCAAGATTACTGTGCGGCATAAATGCTGATCAGAGTATGCCATTAATTTTAGCTATTACAATGATGTATACTTTTCTGTCTGCAGTCAATCGCCTTGCTAATATGGGCTTTTCCAGCAAATCAGCAAGGAAACAAGACTTAAGATCATCATAAAGGAGGCTTCTGCTTGTGAAGTGCTTTCCATGAGGTACCACACCTTTCCAGTGCCTCAGCTGGATTACTTCAAATGATGAGGCAGGTACTGTTATCAGCTCTATTTGGCAGATGTTAAAACTCAAGAGTTTCAATGTTTTGTTCAAGTGGCAAAACCAGAAATCTACACCCAATCAATCCCAGGCCTCTGCACCCAAACCAAAGCTTGTCTGAAAACTGTCAGCAGTTCACAACCAAGTAGGTACAGAAATAGCAAGTAAACGCTTAGAAACTGAGAGCATTTTGACAGAATAATTTTACATCTGTTGAATTCAATAGTCTCATATTTTGTATGCTTTCCAGACTTTCAATTTTCTAGTAATTTTTTCATATGGATTTTATAAAAGTATTAATCAGTAATTCACTGGAAATCAGAAGTGAATCAAACCCAGGGGTGGTTTGAGGAGCAGGCTCTACACCATAGTGCCTGGCAAGAAACATCCTTGTCATCCTGTGCAGCTGGGATGTTATAACAATGGTAGCTTTGGGACCCAGGAGTTTAAAACTAGAGGTGTGCTTTTTGTGAAGAGGGTAGGAGGTTGCCTCAGATGGAAACGAATTTGAGGAACTAGGGGGGAGGCCACTAGGGTACACAACGGGTCCCTGCCTCACGCTGGCTTGCTAAGCTCCAACACTAACCACAGGACCGTTGTACCTCCAACCTCCTCTGCCCAGAAGGTTCCGTGTATTGGCTTCAGGTACCTAGCTCCTTGTCACTTGGTTCTCAACGCTCATGGCACCTCCTCAGCAACGCATTCTTGAGCATCCTACCTAACTCCTTGTCCCCTACACTGCTTCACGTCCTGCATGACACATGCGACTGTTTAAAACTACGGTTATTTTTGTACATGTTTGTAGCAGTCACTACCAGTGTAGGCTTCTTGGGAGCAGGGACCCTACTTTCTCCAAGACCGTTACAGGTCAATAAACATTTGCTGAATACACAAGAAAAAAGGAACCCATAGAAATGGTACAGTACGATAAGCGCGAATTCCTGGCAATGCGAATAATTTTCGCTCGTAAACATATTTATATCTCCGCACAGTGAGGTCTCACTGCCCGCCAGCCCGACTCCACCGGAAGGGATTCGTTCGGAATGTTCGGGGGGCGGGCAAGAGACGGTGGGCCTCGGCCTGCAGCGTCACGTCCGTCAAGGTTACCTGTGGGACTGGGGGCGAACCGCACTCGCACCGCAGCCCCGGGATCAGCGCCCAGGCTGGCTTCGCGCCGCCCCATGAGGCGGCCCAAAGCAGCCGGGGACCTCCCGGGATGCAGCAACCTCTGCAGGAGCACCGCCATGTGGGGTGGCATCGCACACGTGGGCTTCTCCGTGCATCACTTCCGGAGACTCCTCCCAGCCAATCCGCTTCCGCCACAGACGGTGCAACCCCGCCCCTTAAAGGCGCAGGCCTCCTAGCCTGCAAGCCCACGCCCCCTTCCCAAGACTGCGGCCCCACTCGGCCTCAAGGGGGCAGAGCCCAGCAAGCGGGCGATTTCCCGGGCCCGCCCCCCTCGGTTCTCGAAAGCTAAAGCGTGGCAGGGGCCGGGCCGGGGAAGCGGAGGAGGCGGGTCTCCATAGAAACCTCCACCTGTTTCCGGCCAGGCTGTGCAAGATTAGGGGCTGCTGCGGGGGCCAATCTCAGCCAGCTCGCCTTTTCCCGGCGGCCTCTGCGGGAGCGGTGGGTGTTGTACACAATCATCATGGCGGCGGCCGGAGCCCCGGATGGTGAGTGTGGAGGGGGTGGCGGGCGCCCGGGTCGGGCCGGGATGAAGCGGGCGCTCCTAGGGGACGTGGCCCGGCACTGGTCGTGGGGGGGGGCAGTAACCCTGCTGGGGCACATTGGTCCGGCGGCTCCCGCGCAGAGTCTGGTTCCAGGCCCAGCCCGCGGCGAGCGTCCACCCTCTAAACCCCTTGCAGGCATGGAGGAGACTGGCATGGACACGGAGGCAGAGACCGTGGCGACCGAGGCGCCCGCGCGGTCCCTCAACTGCGTGGAGGCCGAAGCCGCGGCGGGGGCGGCGGCCGAGGACTCCAGCGCCGCGCGAGGTAGTCTGCAGCCGGCCCCGGCCCAGCCCCCTGGGGACCCCGCGGCCCAGGCCTCGGTCAGCAATGGCGAGGACGCGGGCGGCGGCGCGGGCAGGGAGCTGGTGGACCTGAAGATCATCTGGAACAAGACTAAACACGACGTCAAGTTTCCCCTGGACAGCACGGGCTCCGAGCTGAAACAGAAGATTCACTCAATTACAGGTAATCCCCGTGGCGCTGACAGCCTTCCCCGCCTCACCTGCCCACTGTTATGCTGTGCTAGGTATCGCGTTGCCTGTGTTCTTACATCAGTGTTCTCAATGCTACCAACAGCCTGCCGAAGTAAGTAGTAATGTGCCCGTTATTCAGATGGGGAAAATGAGAGCCAAAATCAGAGCCGATCTGCTGAGCTGGGTTTCAGGCCCAGCTCTGCTTCTTAGGCCCAAGTTTCCAACTCCTGTTTTTAACATCTCTGATAAAATCACCTAAAGCATTTGTTAAGTTTACGGCTTCTAGGCCCTTCCCCCTGGAGAGTTTGAGTCAGTGGGTCTGGAATGTGGCCAGGAATTATTTTTAGTAAATGTTTCAGGTAATTCTAATAAGGGAAGTTTGGGAAACACTGCTGGTGGCTATCACGCTGGCCCCTTCACAGAAGCTCCTATTAACGTGGATTTATCTTATTTACAGCACTTTTCCATTTGAAATGATTTCCTTTTTAAGCTTTCTCTGGGTAGCCTGTAAGCTCCATAAAAACAGAAACCTTATTGGTTTCTATATCCATGATATTTGTGGGCATTCACTTAATATTTGAGTCACGGGGTGGTTGAGGAACTACTTGGAAGGAATAATACCTGATACGGCACTAGATAGGTAAGTGTAGTCGCTCACTTGTATCCAACTCTCTGAGACCCTGTGGGCTGTAGCCTGCCAGGCTCCTCTGTCCATGGGATTTCCCAGGCAAGAATACTGGAGTGGGTTGCCATGCCCTCCTCCAGGGGCTCTTTCCAACCCAGGGATTGAACCCAGGTCTCCTCCATTGCAGTCAGACTCTTTACTGACAGAACCACCAAGGAAGCCCTGATATGACGCTAGTCATAAAGAATCCACCTGCCAGTGCAGGAGACATAAGAGATGTAGGTTCGATCCCTGGGTTGGGAAGATCCCCTGGAGGAGGAAATGGCAACCCACTCCAGTGGGTTCTTGCCTGAAAAATTCCAAGGACAGAGGAGCCTGGTGGACTACAGTCCACGGGGTCGCAAAGAGTTGGACACAACTGAGCACACACATTGATCGGTTACTTAATACCTTGTGCTGCACTAAATGCTCTATATTTGTTCCATCTCTTAGTCCTTAAAGCAAATCCATACAGAAGGAACTATTGTCATCACTCTTATGACATTCTGGAGGCTCAGAGAGGTTGTAAATTGCCTAAGTGCACAACAGTGATTAGCAATAAAGCAGAATTCATTTACGGGTCTGTGTCCAAAGAATATTTTTCATTTCTTTTTTGCACTGTCCTCTGCCTTTTCCCAAGGTCTCCCGCCTGCCATGCAGAAAGTCATGTATAAGGGACTTGTCCCTGAGGATAAGACATTGAGAGAGATAAAAGTGACCAGCGGGGCCAAGATCATGGTGGTTGGCTCCACGATAAATGATGTTTTAGCAGTAAACACGCCCAAAGATGCTGCCCAGCAGGACGCAAAGGCCGAAGAAAACAAGAAGGAGCCCCTCTGCAGGCAGAAAGTGAGTCTGTTGTGTGATTGTTGGTCCTGGGAAGAGTGAGGCTTTGTCTTCTCGAGCCTAGGCTGGTTGTCTCCTTTCTAGAATAAGCTCCTTTTCGGACAGGGCCCATGATGGAAATTTATGGCAGCAGTTGGGTGCGGCTGGCTGTTGAGTGGAGGTGACAACTACCTGAGATTTGCATCTTTGTCTCGTCTGGCGGGTCAGTGTGTCTCAAGTCTACCTACTTTAGGATGAGGCCTTTGTAAAGGCAGGCTTCAGACCAGGTATTGAAAGGAAACAGATGTGGGTTTCTCTTCTATTTAGCACCAGAGAAAAGTGCCACTATTAGAATTAATCCTCCATTTCATACAAATGCTTACATTTGTTTTTTTGGCTTGTGGCTTCCCCCAAGTCAACAAGCCTTTTTCTCCATAGGTAGGGAAATCAGTAGCTTTCAGCAGTCCCTCTGAAACTGGCTGTTTCAGGAAGCCAAACGAAGCTGACTTGGAAGATAACTACCCTGATTTTTTTTTTCTTCCCTCCCTCCTTCCTGGTCATAAAATGGGGGTCTGATTTTTCACATGCTCTGTTGCTTGTTTCAGATTGAAGAGATCCAGCCTTGTTTTGTGCTCACTGTAGCCATTCAGATTCTTTTTTGCAACTGAGAAAAGTAAGAGTGTTTCACTGTGGAGAGAACTGGTTGAAAGAACAGTCACTTGCGATCTTATCACCCAGCAAACTGTGCTTGTAGTTACAGAGCCTCCCGGACACTCTTAGTGTGTTCCAGGATAACAGATATTCTCAACTCAACCTGTATCCTGCGGAGAGTAGACTGACCTTGACCAACATTAATTTCAGTGACCTTAGGCATCAAGGCACACGGCCAACAGTGTGACACACAGTTTTGGGTTACAGGTTATAATCCCTTTTATGTGCTAACAGAAGCCCAAGCCTGAAAACCAAAAGTGTTCTTATAGATTAGGCAGCAACACCTGACCAGAATTAGCATAGATGGTCATGTTTTACCCTAGAAATGTTAACACGTTTGGTGACAGGTGCTTTCCAAGACCCCTGCAAAGAATATCATGTAATGTATTTTAAAACTGTATTATGTTTATACAAAACATTTGTCCATAGGGTTTCAGATAAGGGGTTGTAAACCTTTGTTCACATCTAAAAGGTATTTATTTGGACATTTTCCCCTCCAGATATGGGGTGATATGAACCAGTTGAGTTCGTTTCCATTTTCCTATCTTCCTTTGCCATGACATAAGAAATTGTCAGAAAGGAACATGTCAAACATGAGTCTTTCCCCTGGTCACGCCTTTGGAGCATAACAGACTTCTTAAATATAGGTTTTGAGTTACTAATGGTAGCTTAACAGGCTTAGAAGTGTTCTCCACAGTGAAGGGAAAATTCTTCAAAAGGTACTTGGGATGTATGAGTCAAATTAAACTTCTAAGCCACACAGCTTTGTTCCATTGATGCCGGTTATGAGACATAAGGTGGCCTAATGAGAGGGACCCATTCTCCTAGCTTTTCATCAGCTTGTTCAAGAATCTGGGGCTGATATGTAGAGTGACCTTTTGCTAGTGGTCTGGCACTTTTGTAGTTATTCCTAACCAGAGGATTTCCGCCATGCTAGTGAGGGTTTGAACTGGCTTGTGGCCACCTGGTACTTAAATTCAATAAAATGTTTACTCTCTACCCACTCATTACCCACAATTTTAGCTTGACCAGACAGTGACTGTATCTCTAAAGCCACAGATGGAAAGGAAACAAGACTTAGGCATTTGGGCCAGACCAGAGCAGTTTTCAGGGGCCATGTGCCTAATTAGAACCCTTTATGAGCCGCTTCAAACTCCTGAGGAAGGAGTGGAGTTAGGCTTACTGTCAGGCTGTAGAGTAGTTAACATTTCTCTTTGGAAAAATGGCTCTTGAGCTTTCTGGTTAGCTCAGTTGAGGGTGGGGTAGTGGGGAAGATTTCTGCAGTGGGCTGAATCTCCATTTGTTGAAGAAATGTCCCTTCTAGGGAGCTAACCTGATTGTCACATCCTTACAGGTTTCTGTGTGAGTTTGAGTTGGCAGAAATGGCTGTCCCCATCTTGTACCTGCCAGGAGAGCAAGCACCCTTTGTGGCTCTCCTTAAGCTAGCTGTGTAGTCTTCTCAATGGTGATTTTGGGGGAGGGAGAGAAGGAAGTCGAGTTTATGTGAATTAGCAATCTGGAAAGCTTGATTGCTCTAAAGCTTTGATGTTTACTATGGTAGTCCCATGTGGCTGATTAAAATTCAGTAATATTAAGAATTCATTTCTTACGCTAGCCACATTTCAAGGGCACAAGTGGTCTCGGCTACTGTTTTGGACAACACAGATACAGAATATTCCCATCACAGACATTTCTGCTGGACAGCACTGCCCTGTACTGTCAAGGGCCCATAATCTGTAGTCAGGACAAGCTTTTGAGCCAAAATGTGAAGGCTTGCTTCATCCTCTTTTTCAAAGAAGTAGTAAAAGACAGAAATGCAGTCAGCTGTTTCATATAATTATCTTTTTCTGACTTATAGCAACACAGGAAAGTGTTGGATAAAGGAAAACCTGAAGACGTGATGCCGTCTGTTAAGGGTGCTCAGGTAAGCCAAGCTCCTTTGTGAGCATTCTGAAACAGGCTCCACTTCTGCTTTCTTGAGGTTCCTGCAGTCGTGTCCTCAGCTCCTGTCTTCTGCTGCCTCGCCGTGTTACTGGTTCCTCTCTCTCACCGCGCTTTTGTGCCCCCAGGAGCGCCTGCCAGCTGTGCCGTTATCTGGCATGTACAACAAGTCTGGAGGGAAAGTGAGGCTTACCTTTAAGCTAGAGCAAGACCAGCTGTGGATCGGCACTAAAGGTATGGGCTGCCCTCGCCTCTTCCTGGCTCGCTACCTCTGGCACCCAGCAGGGCTTGGGCTCGGTTCACCTCTGCTCCTCAGTCTGGAGTCTCTCCACTGTGCTTTGCATGCTTTCGATTTTGCTTTTTGATGCTCGCCTCTGTTTGGGCCCTCTTCCCTCATTCTTTTCAGTCCATTAAACGTCCATCAAACATTGGCTCTTCAGTTGCAGCCAGAACCAGAGGTTCCAAACATGTGGGTTGAGGGCCAGGTCCTGTCTGTGGACGAGAGTTTTCTGAGTTTACACACAGTCTGTGAAAATCAGGAGATTTCACTGGATGAGGGTTTTTTTGTTTGTTCCGTTTTTGTTTTGGCTTCTCTTGAAAAGAAGCAAAAGATCTAGCCGTTCTGGACATACGTTTTCACGCGGCAGACAGAGATCAGCTGGAGCCAAGTAGCCGTTGCAGGTGAACCGTGCTGCGGTCCTCACTGTCCCGTCCGTCTTTTACTGTAGCTGGCGCTGTTCTGTGCGTCACCTGCCTGGCCCCTGTAGATCAGAGTCTGCCTGGACTCAGGACCTGCCTTCCCTCCTTGCCTGGTTGCCCCCTGCTATCCCCCACCTGCCCTGCCTGGGTCCGGGAGTCAGGCATGATGTTTGCTGGGAGGTGTCTCTGACTGTCCTCCCTTTCCCTTCCCCCAGATGGTTCAGAGTCTTGTCAGTTACATTCCGGAATTATTTGTGTCTCTTTCTTTCCTGCTCTATTGTGCCTGTTGATTCCTAGCATCTGTGAACTTCCTTAAAGCAAGTTAACCTCTATGCCAGCCCCATCTGTGATCTCGTCTGTCCTGCCCATCTTCCACACTGCTTTTTCCTCACTGGTTCCTGTGCTCAAAAACCTTGGGCTCTTTAAGGCCAAGTTCAGATGCCTCAACCTAGTGTCCAGTATTCTCACCCATGGGGTTCACGGTTAGATTTCTGCCCCGGCTTCCTGCCCCACTTGCCCTGTTGTGTGCTGCGTACTTGAGCTGCATCACTCCGTGAGCGTCCCACCATGCTTTGCATAGCTCATGTTTTGGTCATGCTGGGCATTTGTCCAGGATGCCTACTTCCTGTTCCTGTTATTAACAAAAATCTTCCAAGATCCTACTTAAACATGCTCTTCTAAGGAAGCCTTCCCTGATAGCTCACCCCCGCCGCCCGCCCCCCATAAATGAACTGCTGCCGCTTCTATTCACAGAGCACCAGCTTTATCCCTGGAGCACTCATTACTCTCAGGCTTATCTGTCCCCCATCAGATTCCTAGAGGGAACCAAACATGCCCAGTTCACCTGTTTCTCGCCAGCAGTGTAGGTATTCAGTGTTGGAGGTAAATGTAAAGAGAAGTATGGTGGCCCGCATTGTGAAGGTTAGCTGGTTTCAGGGACAGGCCATTTATTATGATTCTGCTTAAAATGGGGCCAAGGAGGTGTTAGTTGCTCAGTTGTGTTCGACTCTTTACACCCCCACGGACTGTAGCCCAACAGGCTTCTCTGTCCATGGAATTCCCCAGGCCAGAGTACTGGAGTGGGTTACCATTCCCTTCTCCAGGGGATCTTCCAGACCCAGGGATTGAACCCAGGTCTCCCGCATTGCAGGCAGATTCTTTACCATCTGAGTCACCAGAGAATCCCAAAATGGGACCAAAGTTTTAGGGAAAATAATTGGAGCAGGAGTGATGGGGAATGAGATTTTAATCATCTTAAAATGTGAAAGTAGGTTTCTCATTTTTAACCCAAGCCTGATTCTTAAAATGAACAAAGACCTAAACCACCAAGATACTTAAGTTTTCTAACAATTTTGTGATTCCTTGCCCCAGTCTTCTTTTTCACTTTTGACTCTCACTACATGGGCAAGGCAAGTTATGCATAAAACTTAAGGGCTGTCCCAGTCTTCCCAGGGACTTTTGAACTCTGTTGTAGGTCATTCTCTTCCACAGAGCCTGGCACATCATCAGTTTTCTTCAGTCATGAGCTGCCCCACCTCTGTCAGATCCTCACTTACTCATGCCTTGCAGGGCAGTTGGCTTAGTTCTCCATCATCAGCAAACTTGCCGGAACCCTGCCTCTTCCTTGGCCTGCACTTTCACTCCTGCAGCCTACTGGGAGGCCGGGATCAAGGCTGCTGGCTGGGAGGGTGGGTGCAGGTAGGGGAACTGGATGAGGACTGAGTGTGTAAGCCTTTGTTGGTTCCTAGGGAATGTTTCCAGGTGGTAAAGTTCTATAGGAAACAATGACAGATCTGCTGGGGCTAATGACAGCCTCCCTTTCGTGTGTTAGAGGTTTTGTTTCAGCTCGTAGGAGCTGCCACCTTTCTGCTATGGCCTTAATGCAGAGTTCTGGAAGAATTTGGTGGATCAGGGTTCAGAGCTGTTGAGAGCCTCATGGCTCACCAGCCTCATTAAAGAACCTGGCTTTGAACATGCACATCTTCAAAGGGTGACCAGGGCTAGGACTTCCATTCCCACCCAGCTGGTGGTGTCAGGGTCCCTCAAGCTTTCTTCTCACTGTGGGCCCAGGAGTCCTGCACCCTGAGTGTCCTAAGCACTGTCCTAGGAGGATGGCTTGTTCTGGGAGTTGGCTTCGATCCACTGGCTTCATCTTTCTGCTGAAGTGACCGTCCCAGCAGCTAGTTGACGTCTTTCTCAGTGGGGTGCTTTATGGAGTGGCATGCAATGACTCCTGCTTGTGGCTTAAACTGTCCTTGCTAGCATGCTTGGGACTCAGTACCGACAGCCTCGGGCCCGGCGGAGTGAGAAGAATGAGCTCCAGGCAGGAGATGGGACCTGTGACCTCATGAAGCTCCCGTGGGGAGCATGTGCCCTGTGTGTAGGGTGCTCAGGTCTCTAATCTAGCTGATTGCTGTCACTTAGGAATGTGGGCTCAGGATTATTGACTCTTCCGTGTTTTCAAGAGAAGCCAGAAGTCCATGTTTTTGTGTGAAATCTCTGGACAATTCAGAATGGCTGATGTTTAAAACAGTTTCCATCTGAAAAGACCAGTGCTGGTCAGATCCTGCCTGTGGGTCACTGTATTAGAGCCACTGAAAGTCAAAATCTGAGTGAGCATCTTCAGGCCCCATCTCCTCACCCCGCTTTTCAGAGACCAAGGCCTGTAGGATAGAAGTTACATGTCTCAAGCCACCAGCTAGATGACAGTCCAGGGCTCTAAATTCCTGGGGTTTTGTCAGCTTATCTCCTTTTTAGATTTCTGCTTTGTGCAGAGCCTGTAGTGAGTTTCTCCAGCATGGTTTCAGCTTTTGCGGAAACCCCCTGCCCCTGAGGTGTCTGCTGCTTCTGGGCGGCGGCTTCGCTGCGCAGGCGCCACCACCCCATTTCCTGCTGTTTGTCTCCAGTCTCCTGCCACTCCAGGCACGCCTCGCTGCCTCCTCTTTCTCCCCTGCCATCCTTAAACTTGCTGCAGAAGGCCTTCTGACCCGATGCGATAAGTGCATCCTGAGAGTTAACCAGAAGAGGTCATGGACTTCTCAGAGAACTTGTTCAAGTGTGTGTGTTTGGAGGGGTGGGAGACTGGGGAGGGAAGGGGCTGGGAGGGGGAGTGTGCAGGATCAAGGGATAGAAACTGGTCTTAAAACCCCAAGCAGCCCACCTCCTGTACAAGTAGCAGGGGGATACTGCTGCCTCCTCCTGGTCCCTGTGACTATCCCAGGCACCTAAGACCTCAGCCAGGGCTGGGCTTGGTGAAAAGGGTGCAGGGGAGCTTCCTGGGTATTTGTCAGTCATCAGGCTCCACACAGTAATGCCAGGATAGCTCTATCTATGCTCTCGGAAACCTTTAATGCACACCTGCCAATCTCTCTTCCCCATTTGCTCCTAGGAAGTCCCCACCTCCCAAACAGTGCTTGGGGTGCACTGACCAGAATGCTGTCCTGTTGTCCCTGGAGGGTGGGGGTGGGCCCCCCAGCCGTCAGCCCTGAGGAGGGACCGCTGAGTCACAGGAGTAGAGCCTGGGGTCGGGAGGGCCTTTAATAATCTCTGTAATCCCTCTCAATTTAGAGCGGACTGAGAAATTGCCCATGGGTTCCATTAAAAATGTGGTCAGTGAGCCTATCGAAGGACACGAGGACTACCACATGATGGTAAGTAGCCGGGCGGCCTCACGCGCACTTGACTCCCGCTTCTGCCCCTCCAGCAGGGAGAGGCTTTTCACTGAGGAGAAAGCTCAGTGTTGAGAAGACAACAGTCTTGAGATCTCCTGTTGTCTTCCAGTTCTTAGAACTTAATCCCTGACCTACTCCTAGTTCTGTTGATTTTGCAACCAACCCCCCCCCCAACCCTGCTCCACCCACCACCTTCACGCAGTTTAAAGGGGATACATTTTTATCTCTTGAGTCTCTCATATCTGTAATATTTTGTTTTTAGACCAGGAAAATAAATGCAAAGAGGAGGTTAATGGCTTGTGGGTCTTCATTTTAAGTTTTGTCTCGGGTATGAAACAGACCCTCCCACTAGCCTTGGCGTCTGTGAGGGCACCAGGCTGCCCCCTTCTGCCACGAGGTGCCTACCCCGGGGGGCTGCCCTCGAGAGGCCGAGGACCCTTGGGGAGGGTGGGGCCTTGACCGGGTTCTGCCTGGAGTTGCACTCAGGAGAATGGCTGCTCTTCGCAGACAGAACCTCTGGAGATGTTCCCCAGGTCTGCAGGGCAGAGCAGGACGAGCAGCCTGAGCAGCGAGGCCGGCCCTTCTGCTCTCCCAGCGCTGGTGAAGGGGCTGCTTTAAAAGTGAGGTTGGGCCACCTTGCTCCAAAGTCGCTGTGGCAGGGACGAGACCTGAGCAGCGATAGGGTGCAAGTGGGGCCACCCGCCCTGCTCAGTTTGAGGAGGCGACCGTGCGGTAGCAATGTCAGCCCCGTCCCAGGAGCGGTGACCGCTGGCTGGCGTACAGAGTTGGCGTAGAGGGAGGTGTTGGAAACTCCCGGAAGAGAGCGTATCCAGTTGTGACCCTTCTCTCGGCAGGTGGCGGGCCCCTGGCTCTAGGGCGTCAGCCAGTCTGTCCCCCGTGCTTCCCGTGGGGGGCTGGCAGTGCAGCCCTGGGTACCTCCTGGTAGAGGTGGTGATGACTCAGGCTCCTCCCAGGCCCTCGGGCTAGTCTCTGTGTAGTCCTTAAAGGATTACAGGTGATCGGTTTCACCTGCTCGGTTATTTTCTCTGTTTTAAAAGTTGGACTTTAATATTGTCATCTGGGCCCCTCCCTTCATTCCCTTTTGAAAGGTTTGTCCCACCAGTTTGACTCCATAAGGTTCATAGCCACAGTTTTCAAACAGTCTGGGGAGAGGAACTCCCAACAGGTAGCATGGACCATTTTGGACATATTTTAAGGAGGTGGTGTGGATGGCTAATGCCTTCGCCTTTTGTTTAAATGCCGATTTCTCTCTGGAGCTGTTGCTGGCAGAGGTGGGTTCTAATTGCCCCCTTTCTTTTCTAAGCACCATTAAGTGCCTTGGCCTTTGTCTTAATGAAGATATTGATTCCCTCTTTGTAGGTGCCATTTCACTAGATTCACAGTTCACCTTAGAAAAGGGTGGCTGTGCTTTTTCATTTTTAGAGAAATGTTAAAAGAGTACCCAAAAGAACCAAGAGTACTATAACAAACCCATATATCCATCAACCAAGAAATGACTGTTGTAAATATCTTGTAACTTGTTTTCAGTCTTGTTTTAAATAAAAGAAAGTCCATCAACAGTGAATATGTCCCCATTGTCTTCCCCTTTGCCCTTGTCATGATTTATCACTTGGATCCTTCCCATCTCTATGCGTTTATTTTCACGTGTATCCATGACCAAGATACAGTATTGTTTTGTGTTTTTTCAGTTTTCATAAATGGTATCATGGTATGTATCGTTCTGCAACTTGCTTTTTTTTGGCTCGACATTATGATCTGTCTGTATTCACTCTAGATCCAGTTCATACCTTGTAAAAGTAAATCCAGTGTTCATATGAGTAGGTCACTTTTAATTTTGCGTTCCCCTAACTGATGGATATGTAGGTGGTTTCCAGGTTTTTATCATTTCTGACAGTGCTGCTTTCAACACTCCTGTCTGTCTCCTCGTGCATGTGTGGCAGTTTGCCTAGGGCAGTGGTTCTCAAACTGGTCTCTGGGTCGGCAGTATTAGCTCACCTGGGAACTTGTTAGACGTGCAGATCCTCAGGCCCCCAGCTCTCTGGAATCAGGAAGTCTCAGGGCTGGAGCCCCCAGTCTGATCTAACAAGCGCCCAGCTGGCCCTGCCGCACATGCAAGTTTGGGAACCACCGCTTTAGGGTCGGCTATGCCTAACGCTCCCACAGCTTTTTCTGTTTTATTTACTCATTTGTTTCTGACAGGAGAATGCTCCCATGTGCACAGTCGTTTTGTTTTTTCCCAAATAATGAGCTCACTGCTCAGCCTCCCCGTGTTTGTTGTGCTGCCTGCTCAGTCTCCCGACCTCTGAAGTACCGCTTGGTTTTCCTTTTTCCCTTCCAGGCGTTTCAGTTGGGCCCCACGGAAGCCTCTTACTACTGGGTGTACTGGGTTCCAACTCAATATGTGGATGCAATCAAAGACACTGTGCTGGGGAAATGGCAGTATTTTTGAAAGCACTTTCACCTCTGGCCCAGGAGACTGACCCAAAGTGAAGGACATTGCTGGGAGAGGCCTGCAGCATCCCTGGATTTCAGAGTTCTGGAACTTTGTTCAAAAATATCTATATCCAATCTGAGGTGATGTGGTGACTGAAGCCAGAGGTGATGTACTTTCACCATTAGCTTAATTTTAACTTAAAATCACCGGTTCCCTTTCTTGCAGTCAGCTTCATACCATTTTTAAAAGTCAATACGGTGGAAATCAATAAATCTGAATTCTGAACATGTTGTGTGGAATACTCTTAAGTGTGTTTGAGAGTAGATCTACCAATTGTGTTTAGAAAGGAATGATCAAAAGCTTTCTGGTTTTTTGGTTTCTTTTTTTAAGTGATTTCACCTGAAATATTTTCATAACTCTGGTTGCAAACATTTGGACTGCGTTGTGATGAGTTGGGGGTGGGTTTTTTTTTCTTTTTCATATAAAATTGTATGCAAAATGTGGGGGTTAGTAAGCCATATTTCTCTGTCCACTGATTCAGAATGAATTCTTTCCTTTTTTATTTTCTCACTTCCTAGATGGGAATTTTTGTTTCTGAAAACCCAAAGATGTCAGTTCCTCCTTTTGTACCTCATCACCACTTCCTTGCCCGGCCTCCCTCCCGCCATGCTGCTGCTCGTGAATGCATGGCAGGAGAGGAAGAGCCAGGGGTCTGGTCGGGATGCTCACACGGGCTCTGGTATTTGTTGAGTAGCGGAGTGTGTCTCAGTGACTCCAGCCTGAACATCTTGGCCTTTGGGCCCCGATCTCTGGGTAGATGGCACTGCCGCTTTGACAGTTGCCTACAGCCCTCGCTGATTTGGCTTTGAGGCCCAGCCTGGCATGGGTGTGCCGACAGGCCCCTCTGAGAGGAGCCTGGTGGAAGCCAGTTATACAGCCATACAGCCACAGACCCAGATCCTCCCTCCTTCTGTTAGAAGTTTTGAGAAATCCTTTAGCAGTCCAGCGATTCTTTCAGTGACGCGTTTGCATCTGGTCCTTCTGCTCACGCATTATGTTCAAGTGTCCTTCATCCCAGGCTTAGAGATGCTGCCTTTCTCAAGAAGTCATCTGACCTAGTGGGTTAGCCGATGGTTTTTAACATTGAAAATGGGATAAATGGCTTTCGTGATTAGCTCTCCCTCTTCCGGGTTTAGCCCTTAACGTCCTTTGTCCACGTGAAGTTCTGTCGTCTCCCAGTGGTTTGGTTGACTCTGGAACGAGGGACAGTCTCGTGGTGAATGATACCCTTTGTGCTGTTCGCTGTTGCTCTGCTGCTGTCTTTGCGATTCTCCTCTCACTGGTGCAGGCCCTCATAGTAAGGTTTGGCAAGAGATGTCCCAAACTTCACATTCTGGATTCTAGACTGTTAGCCCTCTTTCTGTGAAATGTATTAGCATGTGTTCGCCTAAGATGACTATTCCTTGTGAGCCAGTTCATGGTGATCTCCCGTGCCCTCCCCTTTTAAGCTGTAGTTCAAGAATCCAGCCCATCCAGACCGACTCTTGCTTTTCGTGGTGTCGTCCATGCCAGATTACAGATCTACGCAGGAAAATCTCCTCTCGCTTTTCTGGGGGGCACAAGTTCGTCTGGGAAGTGTAGCATCCAGGAGACGGCCTGTTTTCTACCCCTTGCAAAAGGAGCAGTACCTGTAGCTCTTCTGTCCTTGTCAGCCCACAGTCCCTGGAAGAAAGAGCACGTCTTTGCTGCTTGTGGAAGCCTCGCTCTGCGGTTGACAGGCCTTGCGTGCTTGCGGAGTGGCATGGCGGTTTGAATGCTGCTCTTTCCGTTGGCCAGCCTGCCTGTCTTGGAGGCTTATCCTGACAGTGCCACATGCCCACTCTTGAAGCAGACGTCCTGTCCCCGTTTTGCGGGGCTGCTCCCCAAGGCCCTTCCTACCAGGTTCCTCCCTCGTGTGGCTGCCCCCCGCCCACCCCGCCACCTGGCGCCCCCTCCTCCCAGTGACAGTGTGCGTCCCATCTCCCAGCTCCCCAAGGGCCAAACCGCTTCTCACTCAGGCGGGTGTCGTCTCAAGACAGGACCAAAGCCTGTGTGAGCCTTTTTATTTGAAGTAAAAATGGTGCTTTTTTCCTTACTTGGAGATCTTCTATATAAATACTGTAAATGACATCTTTTCGTGTGGACCTGTTGGAGCGTTGCTTTCCAGAGCCCACAAACTCTGCTGGCCCAGTCTTGGGCTCTGGCCGCCCCGTCCATGTGGAGACCTTGCGGGAAGCCCCGGCGAGCAGAGGAGCCACCGGGGCGGGGGGGGGGGGAGGCGTCTGGTTAGAGCCGTGCCTGGGTCCCAGCAGCGCTCACTAGTCTGTCACTCGGCCCGTGAGTGGGCTTGTCGTCATCTTCTTATGGTCCAGGATGTACTGACTGAATCTGTGTTAGCAAACTCAGACTCTCCTTCCCCTTCGGTAGCATCACGGGGTTCATTCTCCCTCAGGGTTCTCCCCGCGCCGAGTCCTCGCTGGGGAGGGGGCGGCCTGGGCTGCTTTCGTGGGGGCAGGACCCCTCGCGGGGCTCCGAGGGCGGGCAGGCGGGTGAGGCTGCTGTCTCCCCTGGAGCTGGCAGCCCGTCCACAGGACACCAAGCCTTTCCTTCCCTCCCCTCTGCCACGTGGCAGAGTAGTGAGGCGGTGTCCCTGCCCCTTAGCTCTGCTTCAGTCAGCCTTTTCAGAAAACTCGGAGATGGTCTCGAGACTTGCTCCAACTGTTTGGTATGCAGTATTCAACTATTTGGTATTCGGTTTTAATCGATGATGGGCCTTTTGCAAGTAGCGTCAGCTCTTTGTAAAATGAAAGTCAAGCTGAGCTAAGGGTGCACTTTGCTGTATCGCGGACGTGGTGGGCCAGGTGAGGCCTCTGTGGGCTCCTGCTTTCCATGATGGCCAGGGAGACTCCCTTCGCCGCTCAGTTGCCGGGTTTTAGCTGGAAGGGGCTGCCTTCTTACTCTCCCTTTCATCAGGTGCCTGGAGGAAGGGTCCTGGGCGCTCACACTTGGCCCGCCCCCTTTGCCGGAGGCAGGACCCCGTGTGCCAAGGCCAGCTCGCTTTCCACCCTGTCCTCTGAGGGCGCCTCTTTCTCTCCTGGCCTGTTGTCTTGGAAAGGATAGTCCTTTTGTCTTCAGGCTTTGTGATTGCGTCATCGCCAGTTAGGACTGGCACCTGTTCCCTTCTTCGCGGGGCCGGGTGGCCTTTCTGAAGTCGCAGGTGGTCAGGAGCCCTCCAGTGCGCTTGACATCTGGTCAGTTGACCTGCCAGGCTGGGTGGTTCTACTGCTTTCTGAATTTCTAAGAATCTCTCTTTGTTTCCTAACGAGTTCTGCAGATTTATTTGACAATGTACGTAAGTACCATGTTTTCCTTGTGGTGTACACTCTGTTCTGGTTTTTGTTTTTAATCAAATGCCTGTTTGGGAGGAGATGAACGTATTTAGTCTATTAGATTTGCGCTGCTGGAAAATTTTTTTTTTAAAGTGTAACCTTGACTAGCTGTTTTATTATTGTTTATCCTGTAAGATTAGTCTATCAATTAAAGTTTGATAATTAATTGCGTCTCCTTTTCCTTCCAGTTCTTCATGCGCCTGGTCTGTACTGGGGATTGACACTGAAACTGGGCCCGGAGTCATTTTTGTCCAGTTGTGGGGTACCCTGTTACCATCTCCCTTGTTTGGCTCTTAGGTATATCCACATTTGTTCCTGCTGAAAATAGTTGATAAAGGGACCCGACTCAATGCGCTCTGTGTCAGTCTAGCTCCCAACTTGGCGGTCAGCCACATCGCTGTCAGGGCCTTCCTCCTCTGCCTGGCCCCAGGCCTCACTCTTCCAGGACACATTTGATAAAACACTGAGATGGAGCTGCAGCTTCAGCCGCAAGCCACAGAGACCCAGGGGGAGGGAGAAGATCTGGTACCAACAGCGGGACGAAAGCAGAGACCTGGGCACAAGCAGTGACTGTAGTTGTCAGAACTGGTTTTGACCCAGCACTGCTCCCACTGGACCCTCTCTTCTCTTCACCCTACTTGGTAAATTTTCCTGAAGGTTCTGGTCTCTCTGCCCCTTCTTGGCTCTTTGCAGTTTCCCATTACCTCATAATCCTTGAACCACACCGTTAGATTCTTAAGGTTCTGACTGTTATGGGGATGGAGGCTGCGCTCCATGCTGTACGTGGCCTGATGCCCCCTGGGAATCTTCTGTCTGCATAGAGGGCACTTCTGAACTGTTACTGCAGGCTCCTTAAACCAGGTAGGATGATTGAGCCTCCTCAGACAGAGAATGAGATGAACTCCACTCTGAATATCATACCATATTTTGGGGGGAGACACCTTGGCATTTACTCAACTCTGGGTAGCTATCAGAACACTCGACAGCAGGGACCCCACAAACACAGTGTCGTGAGGGCAGGAGGACTTCTGCCTGCTTTTGTCCGAGGTGGTCTGTCTAGCCCATCCTTCTTGTAGAAAGTTGCTGTGCTTTCCACCCAGGGGGCCTCTGCCAACACCACTGGGCTGTTTTCAGCTGGGATTAACCTCTGCCTTTTCCAGTTTCTCGAGGCTATTTTTATTCTGAAGCCTTATTAGCCTGTCTTATTTTACTGATAGGCCCCTCCCTACTCTTCCCCCCATTTTATAACTCTTTAACTTTCAAGTTTCTTCTATTTTTACCACTTTCCTCTCTATCTCATTGTAATCACTTGCTGTCTTCCCTTTTTTGTACATTTTCTTTTTTTTCCCCCCTTTTTTGTACATTTTCAGACCTACAGAAAGTTGAAAAATGCTAGTGACCACATTGTGCTTTCACCTGGGTTGACCAGTTGTTAAAACGTTAACTCCATTTGCCTTCTCTTCACGTGTATACTTTATTTTGCTGAATCATTTGACTGCCTTGCAGATGTCATGACATGTTTTGTGTGGATACGTAAGCAGCATAGTTAATACATCTTCTAGAATGGTTCTTCCCAATCAATAATCC